GAACGGCGGCGCCGACGCGGGGAGGCGCGAGTTATCGAATTAGACCCAATTATCGGACGTCGAGCGGGACGGGGACCCGTCGCGGAATCGGCTCGGAGGAAATCGGAACGAGGAGGCCGACCGCCGCGGTTCAAGGTAGACCAGATCGAACGAGGTCCCCGAGGTCGACGGTTACCCGTTAAAAGGACGAATTTAGCGAAAGCGGTAAGGGGACGGCATCGACGGGGACTCGGGGACTCGGCCCGGCCGTGAATCATCGGCGAAAAGCCCTTGGGCCCGGCCCGCGTGCAGGGGCGGGGGCATTTGAATGGGAACGACAGTCGTGCATCAGGGAACCCGCCTAAAGTCATAGAGCCGCGTGTCGCGTCGTAACGCAAAGTACCTCTCCGTCCTTTATCTTTAAACATAACCTTCGAAAATTATTGGCCCATTCGGACCTCCTGCTCCGGGCATGCGACTCGCCGTTTCTCATCCGCGAGCCTTTTCGCGATACGCGGCCGACCGCGCGGCGAGGCTCCGCGGGGGGCGCGAATAGGTGGCGGGCCCGAGAAAATTGGCCCGCCACCCTCGGGGACTCGCCTATTTCGTCTTCCAAGGTCCCGAGAGGAAATGACCTCGCTCCGCCCCCGCGGGCGACAGAGATCCTCGCTTTCGTTCGTTTCCCCTGCCGCTCGGTAGCCGGGCTCGCCTCGTCGTGCCCACGAAATTATCGGTTTCCTCGACTCGAGAAAATGTGCGCGTTCGCAATTATAATTATCGATACGAGATAGGAATAAAAGGCGAAGGAGCTCGCTGTTTACGCAGCGTCTCGTTCGACCGACACCCGTAACGATAGGGCTTCGAGCGGTAGCGATTACTCGGCGAGTACTCCCCAAGGGAGGAAAAAAGGGGTCCTCCTCCCTCCGTCGAAGGGATGCGCCGGGATGCGCCGGGATGCGCCGGGATGCAGAAATTGCGCGCGGCCCATCGGGGAGGATAATTCGGCCTAATTCCGCGGTCCACGGTGATTTCGGCCATCTTCCGTAATCGGTCGGGACCGCCTCGCGCCGCGGACCGATCCCGTAATGGGATGGAATTAAGAGGAGACGTGCCCCTCGCTAATCTATTAATTCCTCCGAGCGAGATTACGCCGGGGCGTCGGGAGAAACGAGTTTTCCCCGTACCGTTTCTCCACCGTGCCTTCTCCCGGACGGTATTTCTTCGGGGGCCTTTTCCGATCGGAGGAGGACCGCCGTTCCGCGCGGATGCGGGGCGAGAATTACGTAGCAAAAAATACAAATAATTATTTGCCCGGAGAATATCGCGACTCCGTATTTCTCCCGCGGCTGCAATTACGCGGAGGACCCTCGCGGTATTGCAACATTTTATTTCCCCGCGGCCAATCTCTTCTCGAGAGGGAGGGGTCCGTAAGTGATATTAGGTACACTTAAGATTCAAGGCCTCGCGTCCTTTTTAAGGCGGGACGAGAAATGCGGATACTCGAGACACTCGATACCGAGAACGAAAGAGTACGCGCGTGCACGTATACGCGTGACGAAAAAGAATGAGAACCGCGCGAGGCTGAGTGCGGACCTGGGAATGACTCGAGGGAGAGAGAGAGAATGCCCTACCTCGGAATAATAATCGCGGTTACATGCGCCGACCCTGAAAGGATCCCTTCTCCTAATTTACTCCTTATTAAGGTCCTCGTCACTCGGTGAGCGTCATTAGTCGGAACGAATCGAGTTTCGCAACTCGCTCGTTCGCCGGGCCGAGCCGGGGAGCGCTCGCCACCTTCTCGAGGATGCGGCGAGAGGACCCGCTCCGCGTCGAGGCCGCGGGAAATTCCGCCCGCCAAAGGACGGAAATATCGCGACGCTCGTTGTCGTTTTTCTCGCTTCTTTTCGCGTTACGGGTGTCCGCGGGTGATCCAGCCGTTCGAAACCGAACCGAAATCGGGATCGGTCCGCGCCGGTCGTGGCATCCTCGAAAGGGTCCTCGGGTGAGTCATTACGGAATGCACCCTGACGAGTCCTTATCTTCCGGCGGAGAGTGAACATTTGTCCAACGTCAGCTTATCATCGCTACTTATACCACTCGGGCCGCGTTGCAATAAGTAAACGCATCCATCTTCCGCACCTCGTCGAAGAGGTTCCTGACGTGCCGCGACGGGCCAAGGTACGATAAGGCGAGGGATCCCGGCCGACCCTGAAAATACCTCAACGTTTCCCTCCGATTCCGATTACCTTTATTGCCCCGTGGCGCCTGAACGAAATGCCCACTTCCGCGCTCCACTCGCAAGAAAAACTCCCTTTCGAGGCGACGACTCGTAGCGTCGAGGGCGAGCGGAGCGCGGACCGGTCCCCCCGATTTCCCGATCGATTCTCGAGGGACCGCCGGCGGGTTTACGAGGGCCCACGAAAACATGTTATCGGGGCTCTTTTAATCGTTCCTTTTCTCCGGCGCGCGAGTTTATCCGGCGAGTTAGCTTAATGCGCGGGGCAGAGAGGGAGAGAGAGAGGCCCGCGGTTCCGGCGACCGCCGCCGGTCGGCGCTGGCGCTCGCGCTCGTTACCGTGATTGGCAGATTCAATTAACGGGGAGTTCCGCGGCTCCGAGACTCCAGGGTTGCCTGGGCTTAACCCCGGCTAAATATTATTAATAATAATCAGCTCATTACCGGCTCCATTAATTATCCGCCGGACCAGAAGTAAAGCGAAGAGCGGACCGGCTCGCGGCGGGAATTTCTAGGCGAATCATGGCCGGCTCTCGTGCGACTTCCCGTTAAAGGATTTTTCGCTCCCGCTACGATTTGCGTTGCTCGCAACGCGTTCTAACCTGTTGGCGTTCGTAGCGTCGAGGCCGACCGCGTTCCTTCCTGGGCCGCCGGGTGCCACCGAATTCCGACACTTTTCGGTGGTTTTCGGAAACGACGCAACCACCGCCTCGCGAAGACTGCGATCTCGGACGCGACGTTCGCTCGCGTTCCCGGCGTAGTTGCGATTTTTCCCGGCGGCGTCGCGATCGCCGCGAGCGCCGCGAGCGCCGCGAGCGCCGCTAGGGCACGTAGGTACGCGATATCGATCCATTTAACGAACTCATTACCGATGAGGTATCTCGAGCGTTTACCGCGGTTGGCGCAAGTCCGGACCAGGGGCAGGGAGTATTAGCGGTTGGCACCCCTGCGGTTTGATTTACGGACCCCCGCTAACGAGGCTCGGCACCGAAGCATCAACGGCGCGGCGGTTGCCGGCGGTTGCCGGCCGTTGCCGGCATAGGGTGGGCAAGCGGACCCGCGGGCACAGGGGCTGATTGGGCCGTATTTGGTTATAATTAAGGCCCCGGCGGCAACCATTAGCGACCGCGCACCGGACAACATTGTTCTACAAACTAAAAGGGCCGCTCGCCAACTCGCCGCGCCGGCGCGTAAATCAAATCGAGTAAAGACCCGCTCGCTCCGCCGGAGCTATCGCTTCTCGCCACGAGGCTCGCTCGTAAAGGGTCGGGCCCCGGGTCCCGGGAAGAATAATTATTCATCGTCGCGGACCCATTGACGAGCGGGGACTCGACTCGGGTCGCCTTTGTTCTCGCGAGCGGACGACCCGGCGAATTCGCGACGGGTCTCTCTCCCGCGCTCGCCCCGAATATGGTAACAATGTTCCTTCGGCTCGCATAATTGGCGCTATGGGAGCCCAGCGGAGGCTCCGCACTCCCGGGGCCCCTCGACATGGGATGAAGAGATTTACAATGTTCCTGGCCGTAAAATAATCAATAAAATCTGCGCAAAGTAAAGAAACGGACGCGCGGCGGTGATTTAGTGCGGAGCGCCGCGGCCGGCCGTCCGCGGTTGCGAGACGGAGGCTCCGGGGGTGCTCTTAAGGCCCGATCACGAGACCCCTTAACGACTTTGCGACGTTTTCGACGCTTTCGACGCTTTCGACGCTTTCGCCAGGACCGGCCGGGAACCTCCGTCGAGCCCTTCCGAGATCAAACGAAATAGACCGTAGAGGAAGAAAGGAAAAGCGGTCGAGGAGACCCGAAGAGGTTCCGGAAAGGGACACTTTCTCATGTGGGTAGAGCTTTAAGCTCGGGTCGGACGAGAGAGGACGAGAAAGCGTGGCCCGGCCGCAGGCCCCGCGGTAGGAGCCGGATGGTGACGAATTTACGATCGCCTTACGAGCTGCCCCGAACGGGCCGGGGTGTGCGAAACGATCGAGCTTAGGGCCGCGAAACGAGGCCCGAAAACAATCGCCGGAGACCGGGATCGATAATCGCTCGCTACTTTGGCCGCGTTCGGTCGAAATTCTCCTTGATTTAAGGGTGACGGCCCGCTGATTTTATTTCGAGCGGGTCGGCCGTCCATCGGCTGGATCGCGAGTTTTAAAACGAATAAGCCTCGCGACGTCGCATCGAGCCGTTTCCGCCTTCCCCCGACGCGCGAATAACTCGACTAAACGACCGGAAGGATACGGGCCGGGCGATCGAAGACGTTGGATATTAAGAGGCGCGATAAAACGTCGCGCTTACCTTGCATCGTTCGTTTCGTAATCGACGCCCCGTCGAACCGATAGGGTCGACGTCGTCTCCACCTTTGGGCGACGGCCTCTCCCCGCGGAAACGATCCCCGGGTAGGGAGATCGAACGGAAAGGATTCGCGGTGCCGATTGGCCGTCGCATTACGCGACAATTAAACGACCGGTTAGTTCGTCCCGTTCTCCCGGCGCTAGTTGCCGGGCCCCGGTTCCCGATGAAGCCTCCTGCAAATGATGCTCCCCCTTCGGCCCGTCGTTCGCGAACTAAGTACAGGTTCTCCGCACGATACGCGCGCAATCGTAAAACGGCCGAAATAGCGCGATGACCATCTCTCCGAGCGGTGGTATCGAGACGACGTAGGTCCTTTCTTTCAAAGCCGCATGACCCCCGAAAGAAAATTCGCGACATGCGCTTCACCCTAAACAAATGTATTTCCCTTTGGGAACTCGGTACCTAAATTCCGAGCATGCAAAAATCCCACGAATCGATGGAAACACGTTCCTCGAAAAATTAAGTATCGTATCTGTTTTTTTGTAGCTTTAAATTATCACGGAAAACATTTTTTCTCTTTCCGCGTCAACGAATACAAAGTACTTCATTTGCATTGCAAGGATGCAGAAATATCCAAGGGTTCTTCTCTTCTTTAATTGTTATCCATTTTGGAATATTCACTGAACGTCGGATTCTTGAAAGTTGACGTCGCCTGCTTGTACAGTGGATTGTCCCCCTGAAAGATAAAGGATAGAAAATATTTCGGATTAATTCTAATTAACCAAGGTAGAGCGCAGATTGAAAATTAGTTTAGTAGCCGGCTTTACTCTGTCCCATTTTGCCAACGCGCGTTGTCTCTCGAACTTGGCATATTCTCTTCTGTCGTGGATCGTAGTGAGGATCTTCCATACCAAAAGAATCAGGAAACCAAGAATCACCGTGCCGATGATGACTCCTACCGCGACCCCTTAAAATAAATAAATAAATTTTAATATCGATCGTTCGATCGTTGCAACGGTAACCGCTTATTTTGCTAGCGACGCAGGAAAGTACCTAGAACGTTGACCGGAACGGGACAATCTTTCTTCTTCTGAGCCGTAATTTTAAATATCTTGATATCCCCCCCTGTTCCACCTCTGTAATGTTCATATTTAAATGCAAAAGTGCATCCCCCTTCTGCGGGAGCACGACAGATATGAGCGTTCGCGTAATCAACCGCCGTAGGATCGTCCTCGATTTTGTCAGTCTGGAAAGCGTAATTTATGAAACCATCTTTTACGTTTATTCAAGATAAATGAGTCCTAAAGTTAGCCCTTACAATGTCAACCTGGTGAAGACAGGAATCGCATTCCCGATTTATTGCCAAAGGTCCGCTTTTGTAAGCCTTGCACTCGACGCAGTCCTTCAATTCCTCGCATCGTTTTCCAGGACACGTCTGCAAGAAATAATGTCCTATAATCCGTTTACTCTGTTTTATGATTTTTCACGGGATATTTCCTTATTTCTATACTATTTATATTAATTATATCTTACTGGGCATTCCTCGCAATATTGCCCGGAGTATCGAATTTTGTCCTTCTCGTGGCAATGGCAAGTCCCGCAAATGCAGTCTCCTCTTCCACTGCAGATTTCTGCATCTTCTCCCGGAAGTGTACAAGTGCTATTTGTTTCTTTACAATCGCAAGTTTCCCCGCCCCAGCTGGGAAGACAATTACATGTTCCGCATTCGCACTTTCCACGTCCCCCACAGACCTACAAAAAATGGAAGCAGCAATATAATTTGAAAAATCTGAGGTCACTTTCGAAACCAACCAGTCCGCCGCTGCGTTTGCAGGAGAAATTGTCGCACTCGCAATACTTCCCGTAGAACATTTCTTGAGGATTCACTCTTTTTACGCAATCGCAAACTCCGCACTTGCAAGTCCCGCGACCACTGCAAATCTCGTCGGTCTCGTTACTCGGTTTGCAATCTTCAATGACGCTACTTTTTTCCTCTTTGACATCGGAGACTTTGCACTCGCACTGTTTCCCGTAGAACCCCTCGCTGCAGGAGCACACGCCGCAGATCATCGTTCCATTTCCTTTGCACTCCTCCGCGTCCGGAATATACCCCTGAAACCAATTTTCAATGCTACAAACGCGTTTTCTATTTAACGTCACATCGCTCCCCTTTCATACCCAATCAAATATCGTTTCCTCGTTATTACCACCTAACTAATTATTGATTTTCAGTTAAAAGGAATATTCCGAAGTCCTGCCTTCTTCGAGATTATTTAACAAATTTCTTATCCTTTCTCTGAGACGTCCTTACGGGATGTCCTGGACGAGCGCAGGGGCAGTCGCAGATGACCTCCACCTCGATGACGAGACTTTCGCTGATTCCTTCGGGCTTTATTTGCACGATTTGCGTCCATTCTTTCGAATTATCTGGACACTCGGTAGCCTGATATACAAGACAATTCATTATTCACGTAAACAATTAATTTCTCAATTAATCGATACGTAGTTCGGAACCTTCAGGGCGACTTCGAATTTCACGACGTCTTCAACGCGAAGTCCGCCGCATTCCTTCCGCTCCTTTAATTCTCCATATGCGTTAAGACATTTCGAATAATATTTAATGTCGATCAGTCGAGGAGCATTGTCAGTCATGGTAACGGAATTCACGAGTTTCTGTTAAGATGTATGCATAATAATTGTAATATTTGAGTGTTCCAAATGTATCCAATTCTTCATAATGCAGATGATCGTTTGCGATGCGATACCTCGTATTCCCCGCTAACTAGAGCAACGACGTTTTTTGAATCTTTCTCAAGAAGTCCGATGGCTGATCCGCTGATTCGTTGACTCAAAAGTTGATAAGTCTCATTTTCATAATTCGGAACGGCAAAGATGACGTTGACGTTGTTCTCCCGAGCTTTCCTATTGACCTGGAAACGTTTACAATCGAGAGTATTGTAGTTTTAATATTTACCCGGGAACGATTCGATTCGACTAGTTTTCTTTCCGATTCTAGCACTTTTATCTGCGGCCTACTTGAGAGATCGAAGGATAATCCTGAAGAAGGGAGTAATTGTAAAATCCTTCCGTGTCCAAGTGGCAGAGACCGTCGTTCGGCTCGATTATTCCAGCGAGCTGGAAATAGTGACAATGTTGGCATTTCGAAAAATCGCTCCGTTCTTCGTCGATTTTGGAAAATCATTACAAGCCCACCCTTCCATCGCCGGCTATGTGAAAACCCGCGTCCGTGGAAAAGACGAGCAGATGGCGAGCCTTTTCCCTCCATCCAATTTCTTTGGCGCACACCATTGCCTGCATCATTGCGTCCAGACCACCTTCCGGTGCATCCAGATTCCCGGAAACGGGCGCATCCTTTACCCGTTGCTGTTAAATAACGAAATCAATATAAATCCCTGTTCGTCGGAATTGCAGCGCGAAGGCCAATGCGAAGACGTATATTTTGGATCACTTGATCGCACGAGACCTTGAAAAGCGCAACGTTCTCCGTCAAAGGCATCTGATTTTTATATCCATAAGGCGGTGCACACGGTTTCCCACTGCTTAAAATACACTGATGGGTCACTCTAAAAAATAAAAGGAAAAAAAAAAATGGTTAATGGATCGATGACGACCGCCAAATAAGAATTTAACCAAGAACTTCACCTGTCCTTGGACCTGTAGGTCATGGGCAGCACGACTTTGTCGACGAAGCTGCCAAAACCGAGGCGGAAATTCGACGTTAACTTGCTCATGGCCTCGGCAAGTCGGAAACCGAGCTCCGAAAGTTGGTCCTTGTATTTCTCCATGGATGCCGAGAGATCCATCAGGTAATACAGGTCAACCGGATAATCCTCTGCCTGGCTGTACTTGACTTCGATGCGGGACTCCTCTCCTAAAATAATTAGGCATTTAATTAAACGATTCGGTTCCTGCTCCGACGACGAAGCATTATACTTGGACAACATAAATATCGGACCGAGTCTGAGACGAAGACGAATCCTTTGGGGCTGAATTTGAACGGGCTCTCGTCCCTTCGCGTTCATTAAGGGTTTACTATCCAAAACATTCATTGTGCTAGCTTCTTGTATCACCATTTCGTTAGAGCACCAAAGGTCCTTTTCCTTTTCAAATTTTTCTCTAGTCACGCAACGCCCGATGGGTCCTCTGGACAATCCAGATCCCTGGACAAAGTTCGTAATGTGTCCTTTTATATATATTTCTTTCCATCTCCGACCAGTAAAGTATAAAATAATCTGTTATTAATTACCGAAGCGGAACACCAAACACATTGCGGAGTCTGAATGCAGCTTTTGCAATTCTGCCGAAGGGCGCAGAAAGATTCCTGGTCTTTTTGCTGGGCAAGAACCAAGAGGCACGACTGCAAAATTGCAAATAAAATTAACCCGCACGATTCCATTATTTCTGAATGTTATTACGCCTAGATTATAATTAAACCGAGCATTTTTAGGGTGTAAAAGTCACGGAAGACTAAGTGAGACTGCTTTAGAGGATACTGCGGCATCCAGCGGAAACAAACCGGTGATAACATAATCATCTAAGTGTGTGTCATAATTATTCTAAGAACTACACTTTTATCCGTCTTTTATATTAAAACATTATTTGGAGATCTGTTTAAAATCTCAACGACGCGTTATTGAAGGTGAGAAAAATCTCCTTGAAGATTCTGGGTTGCAACGGTTTGATTACCACATTGACAAACGATAGAATACGTTTGCATCGGTTATCTTAAAAAAATTTATAAATTATCTCAATAGGGTCATTCCGATTCCCTAACTCACCTATTCCGCGTAGAATATTATTAATAACTTATTTCGAAAATAAAAATTTGGTGAGAAAGCCGCTTATGTAGATTCTGTATTTTAAATAGCCCGCTTATTTTAACATGGTAGTTCCAGATTGGAGCGAAAAAGGCGCCATCGGCGCAAAGAACCAGAAACCTCCTGAATCATCGGTGGGTAATTTAGACGTTGTTATTATCTTCATCAGCCTTCTTTACCACTCTTCGTCACGAGTAGAGAAAAGATAAAAGTAGCCACGGTTTGAAGAGCACAGCTACGAAACTTTCTGCGATGTGACCGCCGTTATTACTGTAGATATTTATGGTTCCCGAGTTGGTTTCAATAGCGGGACGAAGGACGACGCGCCATCTCTGATTCAAACCAACTACTTGATGCATCGTTTCTGGGAACGCGACAAAGAATACATTTTCTCTGCTCGGAACTTCCTTGACACGACGTTTCTTTCAATTTAGTTAAGCAACCGCGTAAACTTGAGAAAATCGGGAGAAAATCCTTCATTCAAGCGAGTTTCGGCTATTTCTTTTTAACCCGAAGAGTCCGTATCTTTCAAGAGAAGCTCGCACGTCACGCTATCTCCTCAAGGACATCCGCTTACGACTGATCCGGAAAATCACGCCTTACGCTTTGTAACATCGTCCGGTGCAAATCCGATCGTAACAGGTGACAGTCGTGCTAAGTGTTTCTCTTGATTTTTCAACTACTTCTACACCTCGTTCACATTTTTGTGTTAGTTCACTTTATTTTTCTCAATAGAATAAGTAGAAATCAAATCTTTCCAATTTGAAATTATAAATAACATGTATCCGATTCTTCCTAATTGATAAAAAATTGAAATTTAATATCGATCGTGTAAGAGATAAATGGTTATTTGATAATGAATTCAGATAATGGGTTCAGTTTCCAGTGTAAAGAAAGCCACGATGCCAGCAACAAGGGAACTGATCGATCAATTAATTGCTTCGGATACCGTAGTCATATTTTCCAAGACCCATTGTCCTTACTGCAAAATGGCCAAGGAAGTACGTTCGATGATTTTTTAATCTGCAAAACAGCTGATACCATTGCATTTACATTTTATCACTACATTGATATCATTTTACAGATTTTTGGTAAGATAAACAAAAAGTTTACGGCTATCGAGTTGGATGAAAGAGACGACGGAGACGAGATCCAAAATATTCTTGGAGAAATGACCGGAGCACGAACTGTTCCTAGAGTTTTCGTTAAAGGAATTTGCTTAGGTGGCGGATCCGACGTTAAAAGTTTGTACAATAGTGGTGAACTAGAAAAAAAGTTTTAAAAAAACTGTTGCATGTAATCGAATGCATTCGTTACTTTTACATGGGTAAAAAAAGTATGTACAAATTTTCTTTGCTTATCAAACGAATGGTTCAAGGTACTACCGATTATATAAAATGTGGCGGTACGTATAGAAATTAAAACTTCAATCCCAATTATAATACATCGACGTCATTAGCAACTCCGTTCTGTAAGAATTTTAAATTTTATCTCTAAGATAACGATATGAATTTAAATAAATCCTTAAAATCATAAGACCAATGAGTTAAATAGCACTAGGTGCATCGAAGTGTTTATATCGATTAAAATTCCAATACCCTTTATGTCCAAGCCGCTAAACATTCGGTTTGTTTTGCAAAATCATTAAATTTCGATTCTCAATATTGGTATCCAATAAATTATTTTGTATCAATCGCTGCTTCAGTTAACCGCAAATTTCGCCATGGATCTTGAATGGTCCATTGAATTATTTAATAGGAGAAATACAAGGTTAGGATTGGTCAGGCCAACGACCTATGCGGATTAACCGCGTGTCCGATAACGTCTGACAGAGATTCGGAAGATCTAAAAATATCGCGACCAGTGAGCCAGTCCTCGGAAGTTGGAGGATGGATTGGTCTCGCTACAGGAAAGTCTTGGTCTACGTCCTGACCTTCCTGGCTTACGCCTGGTCAGGTTACGGAGCAGGACTTCTCTCGAATCTGCGCGATGCCGTCCTCACAGCCGAGTCCGTATTCGACGACTTCTTCCAGAACGCCATGACGGTTGCCAGGAAGATCAAGGATATCCACGAGGTGTTCGACGCTGCCGTCGAGGAATCCTGCGTTTTCCAGTGTCCGACGGGTGAGACTGCACCTCATGGAATCTCGTTCGCCGTGGAGAAACGCAAAGATTCCGCAACGCGTCATCTCGATGATTTGGCCCCTACATTCATGCGATACGTCTCACGCCTGGAAGAGACTCTTCGCGTTTTTCTACGCGACGAGTTCTTTTACAAAAAATTCGATTGGTCGTCGATCCGTTTTCGCTGAACCCGCCATTTTTAAACGTTTCAGGCATCTCGCCGAAACCCGACTGGAATCATCGACCTCGGAGCGATGGCTGTGGCTCGCTCGGTATCCAGGTAATTTTTTGGGAAAATCCAAAGTCCCGCGAAAAGGAATCAATTAACGATCAATTCGTTTCAAATAATTTCTTGGGTCTTCAGATCAATCAAGAATACCTTCCTCTAGCAGAAATGACCAAGTGTTGCGACGCTCACGACATCTGCTACGATACTTGCAACTCGGATAAGGAGAAGTGTGATTTGGAATTCAAGAGGTGCCTCTACAAGTACTGCGAAGGTTACGTCGACACTGGCGTCACCATCGTCAATACTTGTAAAGCGGCTGCTAAAGTTCTCTTTGCCGGTACTACGGCGCTTGGCTGTAAGAGCTTTATCGACGCGCAGAAACAAGCTTGTTTCTGCGGAGAGAAAAAAAATGGCCAGAGAAAACCGAAGAGAGCGTCCCAAGCTGGTGGGGAGTTATAGCCTTCTACTCGAAACGTTACGTCGCGGACAAAATTAATTTTTTCTAGCCCAATGTTCGCTGGAACGTGATTAAATTAATGTACATAGAGAAACCTTATCGATTAATTTAAACCCTATTGTACGATTAAAATGAAATGCGATGGAACTAAATAAATCAATAAGTCCTAATTGCACGATTGACCCATAGAAGCCCAGATCCTATGCTAGCGCTTGATGCTCTAAAAGTTGGCTAACAAACGAGAAATGAGGGTAAAAGAGAGATCGCACGTATTAGCCAACGATATCTCACTATAGAAAGGCGAGTTTGAGTGTAAGATAAAGAAAGAATGCAATTCGCTGTAAATCGCCATAAAATGAAGAGAGATGGAGAGATGTCTACAGCGCCGCCATCCGTTGGCTAACATACTATTTATCGAGCATCGAACGTTCCTATCCTTCTGGGCTTCTATGGAGACTTGTAAATTCTTTGATAATGTCGGCACAACCGACCGTGGGTTCGCAAAGTTAGGTTCCCATCGAGTTGGAACTTATCGGGCAAGGAAGGCTGAGGAGGGCGGAACGGTCCCGAGCAGTGACCTCCCCGATATTTGCTGATCGAAGTAATCGTGTATCGTGACGGTCTGTCACGCTTTGGGATAACGCTGGATAATGGTTCGTGGGGTAACACGTTCCGATGACTCGATAGAGCAATTCCTTGTTATTCCTGACTGCCCCTAACGCAACCAGAAATACTTGGAGCGAGTACCCCAGTGTTCTCGGCTTCGGACTTTTGTCCCGCGACGTTTTCTACCAGCTCCGGTAAGTTTCCGTCAATGATGCTTATGCAGTTATTCACGTATCTTTATCAGCTGCAACTTCAGGGCACAGGAAGCCCGTTGGGGTGCAACCATTGAAAGTCTAGGATACCTTGTTACATCGAATCAAATAGTAGTACACAACGGTATTCTTCAGGATTTTATCGTCTCTGTAAGTTCGGAGCATCTAGAAGAATGGCATGGACTCATTACCAAACGTCGCTGGCGATCTTGTTCGTGATCACTGGCTCGTTTAATACGCTTTCCGTCAAGTAAGTCCCTGTTCGATTCATGATTAACGTTGCCAGAAAAGGAAATAATTCTGGGAGGTGTCTCAAAACCGATTATCTATTTAATATTTTAGATATGCCGATAAACAAATAGTCCCAGGAATAGATGGGCAGCCAAGGTACTTTAATCACCCATTCATGCAATCTTCATTCATGTTTTTGGGAGAAATGTTATGCCTTCTTGTTTTCAAAATAGCGTACTGTTATTACGAACGCCGAGGGGTAAGTCTTGTACCTAATGTTAAAAATACAGCACCTTTTTGTATGTCGTTAGTTAAATTTTATTAAAATTTATATCGATTCGTGTTTGGATTCTCTTTGTTATTTTTTTTATGTGTTTGTAACCGATTCTAACACGTAGGATGGAACCATCGATGAAACCAATTTGACCAAAGGATTGAGGACTTTCAATCCGTTCGTTCTTTTCGTCCCAGCTCTTTGCGATATGTTTGCTACATCGATTATGTACATCGGGCTGAATATGACTTATGCGAGCAGTTTTCAAATGCTTCGAGGTGCATCGATAATCTTCACCGGTATACTTTCGGTTAGTTTCTTGGAGCGGAAGTTAAAGTACAGAGAATGGAGCGGAATAGTTATGGTCACCTTAGGTCTAGCTCTTGTCGGCATTAGTGACTTTGTAACAAAAGAAACTGACGACACCGATTCAAATTCTATCATCGCCGGTGATCTACTCATCGTTTGTGCTCAGGTATACGTCTCGGTGGTATACAGGAATTATTTCGGTTCACTTTCGTTTCATCGATAACTAAATCTCCTCACAGGTGATTACTGCTACGCAAATGGTCGTTGAAGAGAAATACGTCTCCGGTCAGGACATTCCTGCTCTTCAAGCCGTTGGCTGGGAGGGTAAGTTTCCCAGGAACGAAGATGTTTCGTTAGAATCTCCTTTGAGTCTGTTTCATGTGTTGCATTTTGTTATCAGGTGTCTTTGGTTTTATCGGTATGTGTTTAGCCATGATTCCATTGAACTACATTAGTGCTCAGCCACCTTTTGCCGATAACTCCCGAGGAACTCTGGAAGCAACGGTCGATGCTTTTGTTCAAATAGGGAAAAGTGGACGGCTCTTTACAGCACTGATAGGTGAATATCGTCTGTTAATCTGTAATCTGTAGTTAAATGTAACGATTCTGCCAGTTTCATTATTTGCTTGTCATTATAATTTTTAATCGAACTCTTTTCGTTTAGGCATAGTCGTCAGTATCGCCTTCTTTAACTTTAGCGGAATAAGCATTACAAAGGAGATGAGTGCAACCACAAGAATGGTCTTGGACAGTGCCAGGACGATAATCATATGGGCCATATCCTTGACACTCCGCTGGCAAAAGTTTCATTATTTACAAGTAAGTTCAAACGATGTGATTACCGCACAAGCAATTGCCGCATCTTGCATTGCATTAAATATCTAAATCATTTGATTCCCTTTGCAGCTTGTCGGTTTCGCTATTCTCCTCCTCGGCATGTGCTTCTACAACGACATTTTCATTGCTCAATTTTGGAGGAAATGTTGTGGTAGATTAACTCGACATCGGCCGCTTCCACCGGGGACCGAAATTATTCACACCCTTGCCGATGACGATACAGGGGCTTAAAACTGACTTATATGCCAAGTGAGTTTATCGGCGAAAATCAAGAGAATTAATTTGACAGGCAATCTCATGCATGTCGGATCACTTTCGAACCGCTTCGATCGTTATAAATCTCGAAACTTATTTTTTTATTTTTTTTATTACTTGTTTTTAGTACTGTACGTTAATAGGGTCATTAATTCCCTTATGATCTTTAACGGTCAAGAGCACGATACCGGGGAATCTTTAAGCACCCTCAAGGTGCGAATTAAATATGCATCGTACGTGACCGAAATGGATGTATCATGGAAGCCTTCACAAATTTTTTTGGTGCCAAGTCATTGTGGATTTCTTGCCTTAGAAACGATCCTCTCTTATCGCGTACAATACTGTTTTACTATAATAACAACAACAACAAAAACTATCACATCAATGCCTTGTTTCTTAGGAGAAAATGTATCGTGTAAATGTACACTGCGTGTACGTAAAAAGTAGTTCGGTTACCATTTGTAATCGTCGTCCTGCGGCAATGGCGTTAATCTTAAGGCTTTATATATATATATATATTAATTTATCAAAACTATCCGAAATTGAATACCATTTGTTACTCCTATCTCAAAACCAATGCTTCTGTGAACTCATGCCAATAATGTAATTCAATAAATGCATAGTTATTTTCCGAACATTTCCTAATCTTACGTATTTAATATGCGAATTAAGGACACCGAGAAATATGTAACTTATAAAGATTCAAGTGTACTTTTCAATGAGAACCTTATTTATAAATACTTTTGATATTTAGAGTTAGAAACAATACTTGTTAAATATGTTAGAGAGGATTATGTGGCATTGGTCGGGAAATTTTTTTTTTTTCCCTACTTTTCGGTACAATCCAAACTAAGAAACGACAAAGTACTTAAAGATATACGTTCATTATTCTGTTTTGTACATCTTTGGCATCGGCCAGGAACTGGAAGAAATATTTCTTTTCTTCTCTTTCCAAGCTCGAAATAATTTCCTATCTTATTTATCTATATATATAGATAAGAGAGAAAGGGTTGGTGGCGCGCGCGTATAAATCATATAAAAACCTAACCGATTAATTGAAATTAGTATTAACTTTGTTTAAATGTATGTCAAAATACACCAACAGGAAAATTTAGTTGAAACTCGTAAGATCACGTTCTTTTGTTACTCGATTTTTTCAAATATCTTTCTCGGGTTTGCGTACGATTTCGTAAAACCGTCTTTTCGGCAGAAATAAACAAAAAGTGTACTTTGCGAATCATATGAAAATTAAAATAATATACTCAATAAATTTGTACTACAGGAAATGAAAACTTCTTTCAAGCCCGAAACTTTTCAACCATTGGTAACATTTTCTAAGAATCGACAAAGTTCAGTCTTCCTATGAAAATCACTCGGTAAGTGAAATGTAACACATGAAATGCGCTTCGCATTTCTAAGGCAGTAGGAAGCGTTATCGCCATATCACATATCCGTCTTGTCAGTAACTTCAAAACTAGAAACTAAAACTCTTAGGCAAAAAAAGTCACTAGATTCCAAGAAAATAAAAATTATCTTTAAGGACAGCAAGCAGTTTCCCTTAGGAGACTTCTTAATTATATGATAAAAATGCTTCGCAAGCTGTACACCCGTCACTTCAATTAATAATTTCCGTTACAAAAAAAAAAAAAGAAAAGAAAAGAAGCAATAGAGGAAAACTAATAAAAACCCATCTACTCGTTTTTTGACTTCAAAAATCCTGTTTCGAGTCAGTGGTTATTCCAAGGGTTTAAGCTTATTGCGTGCCCAGTCTTAAATCTACCTAAATCTATGAAATGTCTTAATGAAAAAAAAATAATAAAAAAATACTTCAAGGCACTCCGTGGCGTGGGAACAAGTTGGCCTTGAATCGGCCTCGAGAAAGAGACGCGCACAAGTGCCCAGACCCACGACTCGAGTAAATAGGGAAAGGGAAAAATGAATAATCGAAGTGACAACGCTCCCAAAACCCTACAAGAAATAAAGGAGAGTTTCGAGATGCGAGCTGGGCGGTACATGGATCGCTTGACCTACAAGGAAGGCAAGCTTATGAGCGTATTGACAGGGTGCGGGTACCCTAACGGTTCCACTCCAGTTGTAATACATGTGGGTCAGTTTAAACGTCAGCCTCTGCAGTTTATCCGCGTCGAGACCGACATTGTCGGAAATGATACTGTAAGCCGCAGGCGAGACAGTCCCCTGTCGCACCAACTGCGACACTACGAAGAAGTCGTACTTGACGGGGTTCGTTACGACATCATCGACAACGGTACCAGGATCGGGGTTGTCCCCGGGCATTTTAAAGAGCCGCGTGTTGATTTTCTTCGTCACGAGGATGAATGCCATCCTAACGGGCGCGGTGCCGTACACCCCGGCGAGCTTCTGCTTAAGCTGTTCGACCTCGTGTTCGAAGACGTAGGGTATCTGGCCTTCACCTACCCCATCCCGGTAGATGACGATACGTTGAGGTAAAGCGTTGTTGTACTCCCTGTACACGTGCAGCGCTTTGCACAGATTCACCGAAAGGTCGTTCGATAACTCCTCGCCGGTCGAATGGGCGGATACGGCGCTGAAGTAACGGCAGAACGATTTATCCAAAGATGCCACCATAGCACCTGCAATAAGACCGTTCTTTCTTTTTTATACACACTCCTGAATTGACATAGTTCAAACGTACATCTGCCCTTTTCTCCGTTGCCGGAACAATCCGAAACGCGTACTCCAAGGGTACTCTACTCACCGAAATCTCGTTGCTTCGAGCTCGTGTCGTGACACACGTCGAAGCCTACGACCATCAGGCCCGACAGGGGCACCTCGACGGTCCAAGGAGCGCCGCCGATCTTGCAATTTATTTGTACGGCCACTTTGGTGACGATCGACATCGGGTTCTTGTTAGAGAAGGTCTTCGTTAGGAATACCTGCGTCGGAACTGGTCTGTCGACGCAGCACTTCTTCTTGATGGCCGAGTACCGGTCTAGACGGTTGTTCGAGACTACACAGAAGATTAGCTGTGGCCTTGAGCTGCTCATGATCTTCTCGATGCATTGGGTATACGTTCCAGAGCGATCGTCTGGAATTTCGCAGTAGTGGGGACGCTCCATGGAGATGTTCATGTCGCCGCTCGCTTTCATCATGTTCGACATAAAATACTATAGGAGAAAGAACAAAGGTCACCCAAGGTACCATCAGAGCCGTAATAACGTCTTATATCCACGATGATAGCGAATTGAGGTAATGAGAACGTTGAAAAAAACAGAAGACAAATAAAAACTCTGCTTCCGTCGGATACGAAATGGCAAGGAAACCAAATACCTCGGCGTCGCGACGGAAGCGGCTCATGACGATCACCACCCAGTCCTTCAGTTTGCCGTTGATCAGACCCGGGGAACTCCTGAGGGACTTGGTCCAGTCGGCATTCTCTCCGGCTGATATCGACCGTCCATTGGCAAACAAGATCTTCTCTGGTGGTAGAACACGACCCTGCACATCGACGAGCTTCCGGTCCAGAGTCAGATTCCACTCCTTTAACTCTTGAACGATACTGGGCTCACTGTTCAGACGTTGGTTAAACGATAGCAGCTTCTGGATTCGTGATTGAGGCGACACCCGTGTGTGTTGGGCAAGCGCTGCCATTAGGCGATAATTATTTCGCATTTCATCGGTGATCCCTGCGAAACATAAACAAGAGAGCTTATGGCATTTCTTATTAAGATTAATCCGATGCACTAGAATAAATAATGGAAAATAAATAAAAAGTGTAGGGTGGAAAGTGAGACATTTTCGAATTTGAGAACGGCAAATAATTATCGAAGCTCGATTTGAGAAGAAATATCTTCAGAAAATAATGTTCGAAATAATAAAGGATTACTTTTGTTCGTAATTAAAGGTAATAAAAATGTTTAAAGTGAACCTGTAGCTCTGCATAGTTCAGGAACAAGATAAATCAGTTCCGCTTGCCCAGCTCTCCGGTCTCTAGGCTTAGACCGTGACACAAGCATGGGTTGAGTATCCTGCCTTATCTGAATGTTGTATTTGTTTTTGTAGTAATCCTTATACGTTATTTGGTCACCGGTGCGTAACTGGAAGGTTGAGGTGGGAGTTACGGCATGATCCACGTCGTCGATGCGATAGGTATTGTTATTGTAATCGGTTAAGATTACAAGGCCTATCACTTGCTCTTCAAAAATTTTCTGAAACAAATTTAAACGAAAATTGTACAGTGCCTTTTTCAATCACGGATAAAATGTTAATGTGTGAAAAAATCACAAGTGTCCGCGTGAAAGCATCGACTCGATTAGAAGATACTCACTCGATAGTTCTGTCCATCCTTGCGATAGCACTCATCCAAGATATTGAGAATGGTTTCCCTGCGCATCACTTTATGTGAGATCTCGGCACACATAAGGATGTCAGCTTCATACTGCCTGATCGAAGTTACGTAGCCAGGCCACAACTCCATACTATACTCTCGAATTTCAACCTAAAACGTCAACATTGACAGTCTTTAAAGAATCCTCTCAAACATTTTTTCGCAGTCTATTAGCGTTTCTACTTTACAAGATGTTGACCTTATTTCGGGCATCGTAATAATCACGCCCAACAAGTTGCAGATTCAAAAAGCCTAGGCATTTTCTCATAATTATATTGAAAAATTGTAGGTAATGGTGGTCACCCCTGACCATATCTCCAACAAGACGAATGGTTATTCGAATTTTTTCCTGGTCGGATTCTCTTTTAGAGAACAATTCCATTGGCTACGAGTAAAGTAAGTATTGCTTAATTTCCAAGTTCTACAATGAATGGCGAGTTTGTAAACGTTTAGATCCGTTTAGATCAATTTGAGCTTACCTGGGGAAGGCGATGGCTACAATATAAAACAGTTCCATCAAAAATGTATGCTCCGATACTTTTGCTATGAATTTTTAGGAGACCTTTTCGAACTACCGTTCTAACCTCTTCTGGAGAAAAGTCCACTCGATATTGAAAAATGCACCAGTTGGTTGTGGTGAGCAGCTTAAAGTAATTGGCTTGAAGTTTCACTGGTCTACCAGACATCCCTGCGCAATCGATATATAAATAAGATCATAATATTTCGTGAGGGTCCAAAACAAATTTTTCAAGTTAAGTTAATCAATGAAATCAGTAGTTCGTTATTTCCTTTTTAAAGATTATACATACTCAATTTTATTACATTAATATAATTAAAAAACATCTGAAGCCTTAAGCTCTATCCCTCCTAATAAATAAAAATGGGAACGATAGGTGATATATCTTAAACGTACCCTTCTTCGTTTTCAAGTCCCTTGGACGAGTGACTAAGAGATCCGATGGTAGTACTCTACGTCCTCTCAAGGAACCTCGACCCAGAGAACCTGCTTCTCCACCACCACCTGTTGCAGATCGATGCTACACATTATATGACTTACAAGACTTCTATGTCAACAAATTCAGCATCTCCAGTTACCAATTGGAGTAGTATCCATGGGATCTGGTTTGGCTTCCCCGGGTCCAGAATCTCCCCTGGAACTGGGCCGCTGAGTACCACGTGCCATACTCTATAATGACCAATCGGATTACTGACTCATTAGCAACCTTCTTCAAATATATAATTGATGACAATGCATGATGGATGAGGTCTAGTGAATTCAACTGACAACGATTTTAACATTAAAATTAGTATCAAAGTCTGATAGAGTACTATCCTATATCATGCTTTTCGATTTATCTATTGCATTTTGACATCAATAAAAAATCCTCTTGATGAAAAGGATTTTTTTTCCACACCATTTTCTGAATCATTTGATAGAAAAAGAATAAATGTATAACATAAAAAAAAAAAATAAAGATACACAAATAAAGGAATGTCAAAAACATTGAGCAATACAATCTCATGCCTCCTTTCAAGAACTAGAGAATCGAAGGCTATGGTACGATGATATACTACATGAATAAATGATTAACCCTAAGAAGAAAAAGAGCACACTTCACCAAAAAGAAAAAGAATTTGTGTAATATTCACTAAAGGTAAGTAGAGGCAAGACTCCAATTATAGAGAAAATCTCCCAGGGACAAGCGCTTTTACTAGAAAATGGGATTAGAATTTATTTAATGGCAGGCTCGCATGCATAATAGTGCTTAAATGAATCATTGGATGATCTTGTGTAAAAAAAAAACTTTACAAAGTCAGGGAGATCCCTCGTCAAGGCTCAAATGTTACCTTCCAAAATTAATCTATCAAAGGTAAAGCTTAATCATACCAAAAATGAATGATTTGCATTACAACCAAAGCTGGCATAGCACTACCTTAAATCATTCTCTTCGATGTCTCTAGTAAGTCAGGGTTACCTGTCGAGTTGGCTGAGATGGCCTTGCATAGGGTACCTGGTGATGGGACGTGCTCGGCCTGGTAGAAGTCGTAGAACTTGAAGCTTGACGACTAAACGCTCCTTGGGACGTCGAAGGCGGGGCCTGCTGCTCACGCTGAGTTTTACCCCGCCCCATGCTTTTCTTCATCGGTGGTCGGTCGCTCATCTTTACCGTAGTTCTTGAGACCTTATGCCGCCGATCTTAACTCGCTACACAAAATGCAACACGTTCAGTAAGCATAAATAATTCTTCTCAGTGGTTTACACGATCGACCAACAGCACATAATTTAATGCATGATCAAACTATCGATACAACGATAATAAATAACACGATTTAACTGAAATTTCTTTGGCAAAGCTCTCACTTTTTCATTAGTACCCTGCTACTAAAATCAAACAGTTTTCAATGCGTGATACAGGATTTTAATATTAACCATAAGCAAAAGTGTCAGAAAAATGCATAAAAATATAAAATCGTTTAAAATATCTCAAGGGCACTGGTTGATTTTTAATGACTCGCAGTTAGACGATTCACAAGATACGAGCGCACGCAACAAAGACTGGTAACGTCGGCAGAAAAGGCCGATAACCCGTGCAGGCTCGAACACGTTACCTCCTGTTAGAATACCGGCTATAAACAAAGGACGTGGAAGAAGGAGAATCGCAGGAAGTTGCGGTAGCGACTGTAAGGTCACAAATACTCTCGGAATTTCCGTAAATTCTTGGCTAAACAAATCGTTCACTTACCAAAGACTTTTCTTTGAGTCAACCCAACGACCGATTACAGAATCGAAAAACCGGAAAAAGAACGAGGAACGTCGCGAAGCGTCGGTGGCGAGACGAAACAAGAAACGCTCCAACTCTTAACGGCCCGTGGAATTATGGGTGATCATGGGTAGTCGCGGCCGGAGATTCGCGTTTCGATTGGTGCAACGCATATCTGTCTAAAAGAACCCGACCAACCGAAACACTTCCCGGCGAACGGCGGCCAATCGCAATTCTACGATACACCTTATCTGTTACGACAGCCTGTTGCCCCCGTGTTGCTCCTCGTGGTTGAACCTTCACTGACCAACATTAACGCACCAACCTTTCTTTCGGCCTTTTTTTTTTACAAGAGTTTCAACGTTCATTTTCATTCAAGACCAGTAACGAATTTTTCAAGAACGTGATCACAAAAAGAGCAGTTTTCAACGACAAAAACAAGATTTCAGGCTGGATCACTGGATAAAATTAGACAACTTACAACATAGCCTCGATTGCTGTTCCGATCTTATTTTATTTACGGTTCTTTCCCTCTTTGAATATAAAAATATAATAATATATAAATAACATCAACATGGTCATGTATATTAAAATAAGTGAAAACGAAATTGACCTTCCAATGAATTCTTTATACCTTTTCAAGCGAGCAATAATTTTCCTCAGATAAAAATTTTCAAATTTATTAAAAACGGAATAAATTTGACAGGTCTAATAAACTTTTGAGTTATTAATTTTATCTTATGGTGAATACACGTGGTCACCTCGTTGCAAGGTAAAAAATGGGGGGGGGGGACCAATAGAGACCGAAAGGAACGCGACACATTGCAAAGTACAAATTACCGGACTCCAACCACCTGTCGAATTGATAAAACGATGCCGAAATTCCATCTATACGACTTTTCTGACAGATTAAAACGTTCACTCACCAAATAATCTGTTTTGAGCCCACCAGTTATCAAAGAGAATGCAAAAACAGCAGAGGTGCATCAGCAGCCGATGGCGACGGTTCGCAAAAGAACGGACTGGAAAGGACGAAAGAGGAAATGCTTCCTGGTCGACGACTGTCGACGACCCACGGAATTGCACGGAATTATATCGAACTGTGTTAACTGTATGGGGTTATGGGTGATTTATCGTGATTACAAATGCAAACTTGGTCATCACTCGTAGCTTCACGTTGGTTACATACATGCATAACCATTTAGTCTATCAATCCTCGACTCAATTCGACCAATCGGAGTATTCGTTACCAAGTTGTCCATCTCTGAAAGGGAAAGTATCCAATGCTTTATTACTACGCTTACCCGCGACTTTCAAACTACAAATTTTGAAAATTCCTTCGATTTGTTAAGACTCGGAAAGAAAACTCTAATTCTGTCAATTGTGGATATAAATAAAAAAATGTTTACCATTGCTTAGTCTCATCGAAAGTAAAAAATATTGAAACAAATGCCAGTAGTAACTGCAACCAAGTTTCAGTTCCGAGTGGATGGTAATAAAATATTCGGTCGTTACTTTGTTGCTGTATGTGTATAATTTGAGACTGCTTCATTTTATTTTCTGGCATGTTCCGCTGTTTATCTGCGAAATTCAAGAAATAACATTACTTGGATTCTTTTGCTCCTTTAAATGGGAGAGCGAGAACGAGACATAGGCTCACTCAAGAAAAAGCGAGTTAATATTGACAACCCAGGGTAAAAAAAACAAGGACATCGGCGTATTTCAATATTTAAAAATAAATATTCCTTAATTATGTTAGAAATTCTTTAAAAAAAAGAGTATAAAGTAAAATATACTGCTGCAGGTTAAGTATTTCAACATTAAATACATATGTAAAAATCCTTTGAAAGAGACATTTTTAGGATTACTGTCGATATGTTCATTCTAGAATGGAGATAAGATAAGAATACCGACAGTCTTACTAATTTAGATGCAATGGTTTAAAACTACTCATAGGGATAAAGAAAATATTTAAATTAACTTCACAATGATAATGTTATTCCACGTCATAATTTTTGTCACCTTTTCAAGGCACGTGATACAATCGCAAGAAATAGTTGGTACTGAATTACTCAAATTTTGTAGTATATTCAATATATAAATTAATTTGACTGTTACATCTTTTAATAAAGAGAGAAACTGTAAGGATAAAAAATAGCAAAAAACGACTATAGTGATTAAAATATCGTTATTAAGTTTAGGACAAAATTTAAAGTAATGTAATTTATAACAACATCCCATCGAATGCTTTTCTTTTAAGTATTTATCAGCTTTATCCCAACAGTTTAATTCTGATTTCGAATAGAGAATATTTTACCAATGGACAAATACTTTATGATAGCTAGCTCTCTTACCATGAATTTAAAACTTTTTCAGTAATCCAGTGTAAAGGAGAAAAACCTGATGGCAGGTAACGATCAACAGCAATGGTATGGAGGCGATGGAATCCAAAGTTTTAATTCTTTTATGTATTTGTTTTAGGTGCTTCTGTGTTGACGAGAATGGCACAAAACTTTTTGGATGGTCTTGGTGGTCAATGGCACAAGACATGACATGCGGTAAGAGTCCAAATTCTCACAGGTTTTGTATTTGACATCCGTTAATACTTTTTTAACGATCTACATAAGTGTAGCATGCAGTAGACGTACCAATGAATTAAGGAAAAGAGGAACGGGTACAGTGTCACTGCATTGTATGCAAAATGGGAACTTTGAAGAGCTTCAATGCAACAGTGGCATGTGTTGGTGTGTCGATGATAAAACTGGTGAACCAACCTGTAGAGCCTTTCCAAGTTCAGCAGTGACTTACCTTCCCTGTTGTAAGTGCATTGAATTCTGTTGATGATTTTTATTATAAAGTGTAAACAATATTTTTTTCAAACGGAAACCAATCAGATAAGAAGGACCAATTTGGAGTACAGTATTTAAGAAGATGCGAAAGCAAAATGGTTGCCAGAGTGGAATTTCTTGAAAAACTGAAACTTCATGGTCGACAATTTGCGTATGTAGATAGGGTATTCTGCGATGACGATGGCACCTTTAATAGTCGCAGCATTGTTGGCACTCGGTAATTTATTCCAAAATTATTAATGAATTATTAAAACGTACTAATGAAACTGGTAATATTTTTTTCCAGAGTCAACTGTGTTTGGAAAGATGGTGAAAAGTTACAAAATTATGGCTCGTCTATTGAAAACTTTTCAAAGATGAACTGCAGTAAGTTTTCTCTATTCCCGCTTGTCAAAATAATTTTTCAAATCTTTATCAGAATTATTCCATGAATGAAAACATAATGAAAAAGATCGAATTTGGATAGTTTTGTCGACTGTCAACAAGTACCCATATTTTAATTATATACATCTTTCAGGATGTGCACGAGACTATCGAATTTATGCTCAATCAGGATTAAATTTCTTCTTCAGCTGCTACAATGACGGAAGTTACGACATTATTCAACACAGTAATGGAGAACCTTATTGTATAGATGAAGATGGATTTCCAACCAGTTCCCTTGGTGTTATTGGAGATGCAATTAAGTGTGGATAAATAACATTAACAGCTGGTAATTAAACAGCTTTTTAATAGTATTTTAAAAGAAAAGAAATTCTTCAACCATGAATAAAAAAGTAGTTTGTACTCCACGTGATTTAATGTACTGTCCGTCTACCCAACCTAACCTGTTCCTGACGAACATGCGATACCTTGGTGGTTCCCGATGGTTCCGCGGGTCGGTACTTTTTAAATTAAAGCGTTTTTACCACGTTTATTTGTCGTAGTTTATCTCTAAAGTGTAGTAAGTTTGCATTAATTACTTTACTGGCAGATTTTTAATCCAATTAGTATCTAAGGCAACGCACAAATGTTATGTGATAAAACGTAGGGTTATGTTTAACCTAATCTTACAGTGTTTTTATTTAGACGGCAACGATTTTCTCATCGTTTGCATATAGATTTATAATTCACAAATCCCTGTGGAACTTTCAGTTCTATCGAATGAAATATAAATCATCGAAATGAACTTGTTACCGAAGTCACACGAAGAATTCAATAAGGTTGAGTACTGGAACACGTTCTTTCGAAAGCGAGGGAAAAAGAGTTTTGACTGGTAAGTCTGTGTAGCTATTAAAATATTTTCCACTCTAAAATAAATGTTTAAATTAGAAATAGTTAATGGTGAGCATAAAATAACTTATCTGATTAATAGATAATTAAAGGGCAATTGGTATATTTCAGGTATGGAGAGTACCCAGAACTTTGTGGGTACCTATCAAAGTATGCGAAGACCAAAGATTTGATACTCGTGGTAGGATGTGGCAGTTCTACACTGAGTGCAGATCTTTACGATGTTGGTTACAGGTGCAAGGATGTTACATCTAATAAAATTGTTTCATTCCATTTTTAATAGAATTAATACTATTGTTCCTTTCACTTATAGGAATATAACAAATATCGACATTTCAGAGGTTGTCATTAAGAAAATGCAAAAGATTAATGAGAGTGCCAGACCATCTTTAAGGTTTGAGCATATGGATGCAACATGTATGACTTATCCAAATGAGAGGTTCAGTGTCGTCCTGGACAAAGGTACCTTGGATGCTTTAATGCCAAGTAGTAATGTGGAGGCAACCGATACAGTTGATAAATTCTTTGGTGTAAGTCTAATGAGTACGTTACAACAGTAAGCAAGGAAAAAGAGTTCATTTCTTGAAGTATGGAAAAACCTTGTGATTTAGGAGATTTCTAGAGTTTTGCGTAACGGAGGTCGATACATCTGCGTGTCTCTACTGCAGGAGCACGTTTTGAAGAAGCTTCTCTCTTATTTTCCATCCTCAGGATTCTTGTTTCGAATACTGCGATGTCACGAGGCTGAAGAGAAAGCACGCAAAGAAGAAAATGGTTCCATGCCCGTATTCATAGTTGTTGCCACCAAATTCCTTAATTTACCAAAACAGGTACAAGATTAAGGTTTTTATACGTTCAAAAGATGTTGCTTAAACAATGATGTTTACGTCAATAAGTACTGTTTCATTGAAACTCATGGAATGCTCATACATACATTAACAAATCAATAAAGACCCTGAAATCTCACTAGGTCCTTGAAATATCTCTTGCTGGAACTGTAACAGAAAGAGTCAACACTATCGAAGACATTGAAGCTGCTGTGGCGACTGCTCAAATGTCAGCCCTCGTTTGCAACAGTCTCTTCAAGGGTACGACTACTAACCTCGGTGAGATCGCGTTGGATTTGTATCGGCCCACAGAAAAAGTTCCTCGCTATACCCTCTACATTTTGGACAAAGTTCGCCCCAAAGGTAGCAAGACCTATGCGGCTTTCATTGTTCCTCGAGGAAGGTGCTAATTTTGTCTTTGATATATCAGTGATTAAAATTTTCAATAAGTATGAGACAATTCATAGATCAAGTTTATCAAGAAACTTTCTCGACCTCAACAGAGATCCGGAATGGTTGTTTAGCACAAAAGAGGGAAGACAACAATTACTCGATACGGTACAACGAGACCGTTTAGTGATAATAATTCAGCGTAGAGAGTGTACATTCGAAGGTATCGATGCAGTCAAGAGGGAGCTCGAAGGTTCCGTACGCAATTTTGCTCCGGCAGGCCTTGGAGCGAACGTGCAGATTCCATACATATCCTTGGGAGATGATACAAGCTCACAAAAGATTCTCTACGAGGGTAAAAGCGAGATCAGTGGGCCTGTTGTAGTGGAAGACGTCGATGACGGAAAAGGCAGTGTATCCCGGAGGCTAATCTTCCTGAACAACCAATTTGTAATACAAAGCGAAGCCAGATTGAAAACAAGTAAGACTTCATCGGCGTTCTTTGCATTTCGTGACTTTCGCCTTGAGTTTAATGTACCGTGTTTTTAGCAAAATCTAGGCGTGGCAAATTGAAAACCGTGATCGATCCAATGTTCCTGAGCTGTGAACATCATATTAATATGAGCGTTGCCGCTAGTTTAGAAATCCATCGCAGCAAAGATTGCGAAATTCTTATCATGGGTCTTGGTGGAGGAGGACTTTGTACGTTCTTACACAGGTGCTTCCCACATGTAAGTCTGTTTTAAATCTGTGACTATAAATTTGGTTTAACATTTTTTTTTTTTCTTTTTGCATAGACTAACAAAGAATAGGTAAAACTAATGAGATATAATGCCAAAGAATGAGGATAGAAATAGAACTCTTTACATCACATAGTCTTCAAATAATATGTAAACTTGTTTCACAATTTTCTTGAATGACATGCCAGTAATATTGATAAAAAGATTTTTATACTTAAAGATTAAGCTGGTCGCAGTGGACATCGACGAGCTTATGCTACACGTTGCAACGGACTATTTTGGTCTTGTCCAAAATGAGAAATTACGAGTGGTAATCTCAGATGGCATAGAGTTTTTAAAGCAGGCAGCTAACGAAGACAAAAAGTTCACGGCAATTCTCTTTGATGTAAATGGTAAAGACAACAGTTTGGGTATGAGTTGTCCTCCGAAAGAATTTCTGGAGGATTCTACGCTTCAATTGGTCCAGGAGTGCCTCGCTACGAATGGGGTGTTTGTACTAAATCTTGCGTGTCGAGACGAAAACTTAGCGCAAAATGTATTGGAAAAATTAAGAAAGATATTTCGTGCGGTGATGTCGTGGGGTCTACAAGGTGCATTTAACCGCGTAGTCCTGTGTTGGTGCAACCCTAATGGTACAAAGGACTTAAGTAAAAGACTTCAAAATGCAGTACGATATCTAAATAATAAATTTGACAGCTCCGTCGACAAATCGACTGGTTCGAAAGAGACCGTGGTAAACGCCTCTTCGCTTATCGATGAACTCACTATCCATCGTAACGATTCAAATGCTGATTAAAAGATTATACTCATTAAAGGCATTCAAGGAACGCATGGCTAATTATACCACAGCTTACCCTTTGTCATAAAACGCTGAAAAATGCAAAGAGAAGAGATTCCTTACGGTATTCTAAACAATATTCATGCTACTACATCCTATTTTATCTGTCCATTATTTGTATTTTTATTTTCTAACTTTTTCATTGTTATGACGACAAATAATCAATAATCTGTAATTAACGGAACAATATTACAGAAGATGTATTAATTGTTTTCATATATTTTATATGCTTAGTAGGTGCATTCTCGGAATTATTCTCCCTGCTAATACAAGTTTATTCAATATATACAGTTCATTGCTAAATGGTCTTCATAAAGTGATTCCATTCGTAACAATCCGTTCACGGTTCCCGATGTCTGCGAAGATGGATACAATTTATTTATATGATTAATTATATAAAATTCAGAAGCTAAATGTGATTTAAACAAGCCACTTTTATAGTATTTCTAACAGTCGTAATTTCGTTCTTATGATTATTATTTCGATTCGGAAAACCGGAGCCCAATAAAGAGAATTTTTCGAAGGTACACGAATTCGTTGAAATAATTTCTAAAGTCAAGCGTAAGTACTCGGTAAAGTGATCAAATTATTATAATAGCAATCCCGTCGTATCCCCGACATCCACAAAGGCAAGCACAAATTATCCATTGAATCGAATCCACGAGATTCACGAACTAAATGGGCTTTTGGGCCAAGTACTTTTGTCCATTACATTTGCATTAACGGCAGCTATTATTTCGTTCTATTAATTGTTAGTCCTCTTCTAAAAGCTAAAATCATACGGAGAAAACGTCCTCGAGGAAACTCCTTTAAACAAATTCCATAGTCTTGGTAAACCTTTTCAGTAGAGTATCCTATCGAGGCGCTGACATGACAAGAGCAACGAGGAAATTAATGTGAAATACTTTTTTCGAACAAGGGACAAGTCTCTAAGTGAAATGGATAACAGGATGGACGCGCCTTACATCCTATGGAGGATAATTAATGACTACTACGTGTCGGTTAACGTCAAGACAGTCGTTTTCCGCGTCTATCGCTCATCCTATTTTATATTAGTCTTTAAATGCAAGTTAAGTAACAAAACGAATTCCTAGAATTCCGTTGGTTACACTTTTCCTCGAAGGCTTTGCCCTTTTTTCCGTTCTTCCTCCTACTTATTCCCGATATCTCCTCGATTTATCACAGTATTTATTCTCAAGAGAAGTTCGGAATACGGTTTGCACGTAGGCTTGTTTTCGACAATGAGTATAAGCCGGAGACAGATTATACAATGAGTTTTCTACAACAATTTTTACAAGGCCCTAGCTCCGTTTTCTCTTATTTACGGCATAGTTTTGTAAATAAAGGAAAACAAATAATTCTATGATACGTCCTTACTTCCCTCGGGTTTCTTACACTGTTATTAACGTAACGACCCTGATTATTTTACATTTCTTGTTTCTTTGGTAATCTCAAATCCCAAGCTAAGATCAGGAACAAGGGATCGATTTCAAAATTAAGAAAGACAATAATTATTGGCGTAACTTCCTACCTTTAAAGAAAAAATGAATCGTCTCCTTGTGTAAAGAAATCCCCCAAAAAGTGAGAAATGCGTTTGACCGTGCACAACGTACCGGTATATAAAGGAGCCATTAAATAGACGAGGCATTTCTAAACGCTTGCGACGCAACTCAACTCTTGGGAAATTTCTTTTCACAACAAAAATATCGTTTATAAAGTGAACAATTGAGACACATCACGCGTGCAAACACGATCACGCGTACGTATATGCACTCGCTCACGGAGATACACGATCAAACGAAAACCCTAAAAATCGGACGTCATACGTCAATTGGAATTCGAATCGATCAATTTTAATTAATTTGATATTCTAACTACACCGAGACTAATTAATACGTTAAACGCTTTTCCACAAAGTTTGTAGGCTTCGTCAAAGATTTCAATATGTATCGCGGTTTCTCGTTTAAAGCCTTTCCGTTTACCTTTCATCCAGAAATTGTCCCGAGACGTTAGGCTTTAACGATAACGATAACGATAACGAGCTTTGTACCCTGACGAACACGACCGCTTGCCTTCGTACCCTGGTACTCTGGACGAAGGGAAGGCATCCACGTCCGTCGGTCTCTACGCGTTTACTCAAAGACCACTGATTTGGCACTCGAAGTCGCAAGGCCAAAGCCCAATCCTTAGGTTTCATCGAGCTCGCAAAACGTTCCAAGAAAGTAGGCATCCATTTTCTTATTCGGGTCAGTCAGGCTCCCGAGGAAACGGACTCAACTCTTCGGCCGCTTCTCCTGAAACCGGGGAGGAAAGTTGCCAGACTCGCGACTTTCGGTATTTAGCTTCGAAATACAAGCTTGCCTGCATTCTATATGCTTTCCTACCCCGAGCTCTCGAATCGTTTCGACGATCCACAGCTTGAATGAAAAAAAACATTCTTACCGGTTAACTCCGCGATCCGATTCGGTCCCTTACCGTCCTCCGAAGCTTCGTCGTTGCCTCGTGGTAGTTCTCGGTCTCCGCTTCTTCCTTTCTATAGCGCCGAGCGTTTGCCCTTGACTCTAGAGGTTACCTACGTCAGCGTTCTACGAGAACCCCTTGGCTCGTTGCGTTTCTAGCGTTCGCTCCTAAGTATCAAGGTTTCGGCACGAGCACCCTTCCGTAACTCCAATCAGAAAAGTTTCCTCACCATTTTCCTAAACCCTGTGGTCTTTTTTTCCTTCTTTCCGGTAACCGGCGTGGCACCGTCGCTCTCCTCCCCGGCGACGCACCTCGCGTTCGTACCGTTCGCCCCGACCACCGTGGCCGCGGCGTCCCGTCTACCCGAGGAATCGAAGTTGTCCGATCTCGAGGCTCCGGAGAAGGGCCTCTTGCTCCTCGAGGCGAGAGCGGTCCCGATCGTTGACAGCGAGCTCACCTTGCCTCCGGGTAGGTTCCGCCATCCGCCAGTCTCTTTCTCCGAGTTGGAGGAGGAGCACGAGGTTGGCCCGTTGACCTCCTCTCCGGGCTTCGCAGCGTCCGTCCGCCCCGCCGAGGATCCGCATCCGTAAAAGTTCGGCGCGTCCGGGGAGGAGACTCTCCTCGCGGGCGGGTCGACCGAACCGGAGGTCCCGAGTCTTTCGGCCGTGGTCGCTGGAACGAGACTCGTCGATTCGCGTTTTCTCTTGCGTCTCTTCTTGCCCTCTTGGCTTCCCGCTGGTCGGTGCTCCGCCGCGTGTCCCCGATAGGCGGGTTCGACGCTGCCCGAAGGAACGTCACTGGACCGCCGCCGTTTGGTCTTCTTCGGATTGGTCGACACTTCGGCGCTATGCCTTCGAATTGGGCGCACTTGTAACGTTGTCGTGACCCGTTCCGGGTGGTTCGACGAACGTCGCCTGTAGGTGAGAATCGACAGAACGATCGCGATTTCCAGACACGCGAACACCGCGTGTTGGAAGATCGCCCCGAATCGGCTGCGCCAGCTCTCTCGATCGCAAAGAAACTCCTGCAAGGCCTCCGAAAGGCTCGCGATCTCTCCCTTGAGCGTCGCAATTTCCTCCAGCTGCCTGCTCTCCCGCTCCTCGCTTCTGCGGGACTCCTCGTTCATTGACGCCACCGCTCGTTCCAAGGACCGTTGCATCTCCTCTACCTGTTTCTTGTAACGCCGACTCAGCTCCTCTAGGTACTGTCCGCTCAATGACATGTTCCTCTCGAGAGCCTGGAATTATAGTTCTCTCTGGTATATCTCGGATCTTAACTAATAAATATTTTGACCCGCGCGAAAAATGCTCGGTATCCAATAAAAGATAGATAGTTATACTCATCTTACACTGACCTTGATTCTATTGGACAATCTCAAGAATACCGACTCCTTCTGCTGCGGCGTTGAACTAGCGGTGGGTGCAGCTGCGGATGATGGATTCTGGGCCTGATTACTTTGAAGAGAACCCTGATCGCCTTCGAGTTCCTTAAGGTCGGACAAGAGAGTATCCAGATTAAGTTGCTCTTGCAAAACTTTCGATTCTTGACAGGTTGCCTCGGACTTGCTCTTGGCAGTGATCTCCGTCGTGGGGTCGAGGCGAAGGCGCGAATGAACGTCGAGCGAATCGCCTTTGTCGTCCGCCTCGACAAACGGCGCTTCTCTGGGTTCCTGGAGTTCCAGCTGTCGAGTCAAGGTAGGCGAGATCGTCGATCGCGGCGTCGCATCGACCGGCATATCGGGGACGTCGACTCTTTCAAAGTTGTCAACACTCCTCGAAGCCGAGGGAGCCGGCGTGGTCGGAGCTTCGCACTGCACGCTCTCCTCGGGGAGTTCCTTGACAGGCTCCGCGATCGATGCCCTTGACTCCGTTTTCAGATCGTCTCTGTTCAAGGTCTTCGTATACCCGGGACGGGAGACTAAGGTTTCGGTGGGTACAACCGCCTCGGTGGAACTCGAACTCGTCGAAGACTCGTGTTCGGGAGCTCGAATGCCTCGTTTGCCGGGTATGGACCCGACGGAAGCGGTCGCTCCTTCCCGAGAACTCGTACTTCCTCGGGAAGAGCCTGTATCGTTGAAACGAGAAAGGATTTACTCTTTCGCTCCTGCTAGTACTACTCGCTAATTTAGTGGTTCAATCGTCTTACTTCATCGTTATATCGGCAAAACGAATAATAATAATACCTGTGGACTTACAATCTGCGATCGTAGTGGACGTGTCCAAAGAAACCGTTGTGGTGGATTCCAAGGACGATTTGATGTCGGACGTAGACGTCGTTGACGACGTCGCGGTTGCGGCATCGGTGTCCCTGGCATCGAACGTCGTCGAGGGATGAATCTCGACGGCTCGCGGTGCCGCCACCGTGTTCTCGTCCACCGAGCTCTCCGATTCCTCGGAAAGCACCTGGTGGCTCGAGTTCAGAGCGAGCCTGCTACCGTTACTAGCGAAAACGTTGCAAAGAGCGATGACGTATTCAGGAGCGAACAAAGATTTGAAGAAATTCGAGCGAAGAGCTTTCGTAGAGTCATCCCGAGTGCCTTCCGGCTGTCGTTCCAGTTCGGAAGAAAAGTCGAATCCGTGAGGCGAGCAGAGGCCCGTCTCTCGGAGGGTACTTTCGACGAAGCCGATCTTCAGCAACGAGTTTAGGTACATGTCGGCACAGCTAATCAGTCGGAAGACTTTGGAAAATCGCTCCTCTGAGCAATCGTTGCACACAAGATTGTACCTAAAGTAACAAAAAATATAAATAGCTACAACCGTCAGGCTACGTCGTCCAAGAGAAAATGAATTGCCCTAAGTAAAATTCTAACGAACGAAATATCTTTCCATGCGGGGCCAATGAATTCGTTCGAGTTGAATCAAACTCGATCCGTACCTCGGCGTGACGCAGCCGTTGGAGGCATCGTCCTTCCGCACCTCGTTTTCCAGATTCTTTCGCTGCTCCATGGTCAGGTTACCGAACCGTGGTCCGTTGGATTTGACCAGAACCTCGGCAGCCTTTTTGACTATACTGAGAACCGCGTCCCTGGCACTTCCAAAGAGATTTCTAGGTGGCTCGCCACTTTCCGCTTCCAAGACCTCTTCGTCTTCGTCGTCTTCGTCCTCGTCGTCGTCGTCGTTCTCGTCGCCACCATTCTCCTCGCCGATCTCGCCGTCTCGACGACTTTCCTGTACCTGGTTCTCGGTTTCCGTCTCGAGAACCTCGAATTCACTGGTTCCGTAGGCCCTGAACAGCGAGACCGGGCAGAAATGCTCCTCACCGTAGTGGGAATGCATTTCCACCTTCATGAACTTTCCTGTAAAGCGATCGGATTACTCCGGATCTCCGTGCGCGTTACGGTCGACGCTTACGGCTCGTGACGTGGAGAGTATAAGGAGCGAAGCGCTAAAGGAAACTTACCGAAGAGATGAGGCTGCAGGCCGAAACTCTGAATGTCCCGCTCGTCCCGGGCCGTGAACTGACCAACGGGGGACCAGTCCCTCGTAGGGAACCTGTCGCTCACGTAGACGGAGAAATCTCTGGGCGAGGAACTGAACAGCTCGAAGTTGGCCAACTCGATCTTCTTGGCCTGGATGGCTTCGCAGAGTTCGACGACGAACCAAATCCGGGTGGTACAGGTGTTGAGCATGTATTCGTCCCTCGTCGAGGCCAGGACGCTCCGAGCACTGCGCGCTTCGGGATTAACGGCCACGATCTTGGCTCCGCAATCCGGCGAGGCGTAATTCTTGGAGCGGACCTTCTTGGCGCCGCTGGTCGATCGACCAGCCGATCGACCCGAGGACTTCCCGGAGGAACGGGTCGACGATCGACCCGGCCCGGAGCCGGGATTCTGCGCCGAGGCGTTCGGGTGCGCTGTTAGAGAAAAAGAATCGCTCGGACCGAGAACCGACGTTGCCTCTTTGTTTCTACGCTTCGAACCTTACCCTTCTTCTTCTCGGCCTCCTCGAGCCTCTTCTGAGCCCACTCGCTAAAGGAGGGAATGTCCTCGTGAGGATCCGCGAGTCCCGAGGGGACGAAGCCGTCGAGAATAACCGGGGCTCCGTCGTCTCCGGGGCCGTTAGCCAGCCTCGACCTCGCGGTCCCCTCGTCCAGCTCCGGAGGCGTCGGTGTCGCGGGCCCCGCCCCGACGTCCGATGCCGTCTCCTCCTCCTCCTCCTCCTCCTCCTCCTCGTGGTCGTCGACGACCGGCGGGCCCGGCATCGAGAACGGTCCTCCGGAGGAGCCGCGCGTCCCCGTCTTCTGCTCCGCTCGCACCACCAGCACCTCCTCGGCTCGCTCCTCGGCTCGCTCCTCGGTCGTAGCGTTGGACTCTTCCTGGACGCTTCGGCGATCGTAGGTCAGGTTCGGGGACGGTCCGGCCTTCGACCCCGCCTCGGCCAGGCTCCGCAGTTCCGTGTCCGCCAGGGTCAACGCGCCGGCCTGCCCTCCGGTCCGCGAGACTCTGAAAGATGCAAAAGGTCTTTTCCGTCCGCTCGATCGCGTAGGAGAACCTAGGCAATCGAGGACAAGTGAATTCGCGAGATGACCCGGAGGCCGAGGGAAAGATCTCGGGGACGAGTAAACGTAAAACGGACAAGCGGAGGCGTGGGTCGGGGCCGAATTGAGTACACTTTGCGACACTTTGCGACACTTAGCGAGGCGATGAACGGAGCCCGGGTGGGACCGCGACTCGGCTTGCCGTCGCCGTTCCTCGCCGTCCTTTGCGGAGAAAACCGAGGGTCGGGTCCCTCGTGGTATCGAAAAGCGGAATAAAGGCCCGGAACACGGAAGGAAGAATGGCCGAGGAAAGCGACAGGAGCTCGTCCTCTGGACGATTCGAGGGGGCTCTCAAAGACGCGTCGTTTCTCTGCAAGATCGTCGAGCTGGTAAGCGCGACTACTTCTCTCGCCCCGAGTCGTCCGGGAGGGAGTGCCTTCTTCTTCTTCCAACTAGAACCGAACGATTCGATCTCTCGCAGATACTTTGTGCCATTGCGCTCGGCCTCGTTGTGGATCCCTTCAACGATCGGATGCAACCCGATCGGAATCGCGCCGCCATTATTTACGTATCCTTTTGCAGCTACGTATTGATAAACGCCGTCGCCGTAATCTCCCGCCTGTTGGGCGATCGGTGGCCCAAAAAAGCGGTACGTACTTCTCTTCGTCATCTTCTCCAACTTCATTCGCCCATTCGAAGCCGGTGATAGAAAATATAGTTCCGGCTTCGAATGGGTCGAACGAGCCAAAATCTTTCCCCCGGCCCCTTAAACCTGGATAATTTCTCCTGATAATTTGAAAACCGTCACTTCCGTCTTTTGCGTGGTACGACGAAACGACTTGTAAATGACCGCAGGATTTTCAGATCTTGGAGAAATAATTGATTGAACGCCAAAATATGGAGAGGGGAAAAAAAAGGCATTAACCTTAATTCGTCGGCACTTTTTTCCAGTCGATCATGTTCTCTGGATTGGGAGCGATTCTCTCTTTCACGGCTGGACTGATATTAATCCACGACTGGAACAACTTCCAAGGCAACATGATTTCCCGGTATTTACAGCGATACCTCGACCAGATGGTCGCCAGCGGAGTCCTCGGAATTCTGGCAACGGTAGCTTTCGTTTTCGATGGCTATTATGTAGCGAAGTACAAGTGAAGTACGGGCAAGATTTACCCATCCAAAAAAAGAAAGTCATCGAGTGTATGTAATTTGAACATTTGAACCGCTTTAAAGTCAATCGGAAAACTCAAACGATGATGACCCATGAATAATGAAATTCGCGATTTCGAGTCCGACTTCACCGTCCTATTCGAATAAGTAGTCTAGGATTGCGCTTTATAAAAAGTTTAAAAGAAACCGAAGACCAAGAAATAAATAAAGATTTAGTCATAAAAGTATCTTCAAATAACAGCGAATCATTTGTTGAGTGTCAAAGAATTCTTACTCTCCTTTTCTTATAATGTTTTCAAAATATTTAAGGAGACGTGTTGTTACCAAGTAATTTCAGGCATCTATGTACGATTTCTTATTGAATCATCGAGTGAAGTGCCCGAGACATCGGCCCGTGTCGATCGATTGGTCGAGGAACGCCAAAGGAAGAAAGAGATCGGAAAGTGGAGAAAAGCTTCGGCTAAAGCAACACTCGAGTCCAATCGATTTCTCGAATTTCCGCTTGCTCGTGATTTACTCTTCCGAGGAAGATCCGGAATATTGGTGGTTTAAGGAGATTCCAAGGTTAATTTCTTTTGGAAGGTCGCCCGGTCTGGGAGCCCCCATCTTAAATCTCCCAGCTGTTGGATTAAATGCACTCAAACACTCAGTGGGGCTTCCGCCTTGCGCAATACAGGATCGTTCGATAACGAAGAGTATCTTTACGTTGCACTTTCTTAAAGTTGAAACCAATGTCCAACTTTGAGAACCTCTAATCGATCGAAAGAAAGTTATAAATTTAACATTCTCTGTATTTTCATTTTACGCACTGTGAAGTTTGTTTTTGGATCGTTTCGTCTCCTTAAACTTTCCCTCGGTCTTGTTTCGGAAAGAAAAAAATCCATAGAATACTAAAAAATGTTCCAACTTACCCTTCCGAGAGATTTGGCTGCTGCGTCAAACCTTCGGACAGAATTTCCACAACCTCTGGGTTTGCGTGCGTCTTGTCTTCCGATCCAAGTTCAAAGCTTGCCGACACCGATGAGACTTTCTCAAAGACGATAGACGAAGCCTTCTTTGAAAGGAAAACAGACAATTAAAAAATAGTTATTTTACTTTACGGTGACTTCAACCAGTGCATAGAATTACGTTCGATATTGAGTTTAGATGTTGAATTGGTTCAACAATTTTTTCAGATTTCTTTTGGAATAGATAAACAAAATTTCCTAGTAAATACCGTAACGATATCCTGGTAGGATGTTTCTGTTCTATCGCCTTTCGCTTTAGGTGTTTTCTCCGCCAGTGGGCGAATATACGTTCCAACATTTTCGCTCGATACATTTTCATACGATCGAAAATTCTTATCGTCGACATCGACGTCGCTTGGTTCCAAAGACTGAGTTCCTTCCGAGGCAACTATTAAGAACAAGAGACCACTGAAAAGAAAAGTTTTGCGTACTATTACGTTTTGAGCAAAGTATCGTAGAGTCGAACCATTTTTTAAGATTGCCCAAAAAGTCACCGCTATACCTGGAAATCACGGAGACAAGCAGAAGGATCCAATAAACACACGACAAGGCCAGCCTCATCTTTTCCAGAGCTGTCTCATGGTAGCCTAGTAAACCGTTGCTTTATCGATACAATTAGACCTTCCTGTATTTCATCGACAAAGATCACGGATATTTCCATAACTTCTTAATTTTGATACAATCTGAGTAATAGCACACCCGTCAAACCAGCAGCATTGGTCCAAAAGTTGCATCGCAATGATTTAAGCAGCCGATCATATCTCGCCTCGGTACTGCCCTGAAAAGTCCCCGTTCGAGCTAAACTCTTTAGTATCGCTTTCCGACGTACCATGGTCTTGGCGTAGAATCATAACTTGCTGCACATCTCACAGCTGTTGCCATTCGAACAATTGTATTACAAAGTGTCATTGAATTCGGTACATCATGGTACATGATTACATGCTTGGATGAAATCTGCTGCCAGTTTGAACGTACTCGCTGTATTCTGGAATCCCGGAAAACGTCCCGGTAACGGCAGGCTACGTGGTTACGTGGTTACGACAGGATATTATCTGGCGCGAGTTTCCACGGTCCAATGTAATCCGGAGTTCCCTGGTACCGGCTGACACGTCTTTAGAGCGGGCTCCCGTTCAAAATCTCGAGCGATCGATTCGCCAATCACCGCAAAAACTGACGTGGTCTTACCGCGACGGTTCGGCCGCGCGGAGGGGTAAGCTCGAGGAGAGAGGTGGCAAGGTCTGGCACGTTCACGCAGCTAACCAGTAGAATCGCGAGCAATTGCAAGCTAACTTGGATCAATTGGGCCTCCGACGCGGAACCCATAAAATGGATTGGATGGCGGTTTACGGTGTAACCCACCGACACACCTCGCGACACGATCGCGAGGAAATATTTCTAGAACGGGGCTTCCATTCGAAAAGGTTGTGAGTAACCGCATCTCGCGTACGAAAAAAACAAGTCAACATTCCACCTGGACTGCTTCGAAATCATTCGAAATGGCAATCAAGAATCAGCTGCAGTTTGGTGTGTATCGCCGTTATCGGGGTATTCCAAATTTTCGTCGGCCTCTGCGGTTAGTGGTCCGTCCACGTGCACCGTTTCATTAATTACGGTGATTGCGGTTCGGCCAGGTTCGGCAGGATTAGGTAGGATATCCCGTGGACGTCACCAGACATCACGAGAGTACACGGAGTACATACATACCAGAGATGAGTTGGGAGATTGCTCACGGACAAGGTTGCGCGATCGCGTTTTATGCTGCCCCCTGGTGATTGGTGCGGGCGGCTAACGTACTTGTCACCTGTTATCCCTCAGTGACGGCGCAAGACATTTCTGGTGGGAAAATTTCATGAGACAACCTTCCCTGTCGAGCTACTGTAGTCGCAGACGTGGAAAAAATTCACCGGGGACTAGGCGCCCCGAAAACCGGCTGAAATTGGGGGCAAATGCGTGAGCCTCCCGCATGCTCCACCGAGGACAACACAGAACGCGATCGCGCTGCCTAGCCCGTGAGCAATCTCTCATCTCACCTCTGTATTTACCGTTTATGATTGGGTTACGCTATTACTTTCATATGGGATATTTAATTATAGATGAATCTAAATGTTTCGTCATGAAAAGCAAAGATGTAATTGAAACGACAATGAACGATCATGTTGTATAGCATTAATTAAAAATTGTTTTCTGTTTTATTACCGAATTATGTAATTGTCAAAAAGTGTAATGGGATACCAGCATTCTATTGTTGTTGCTATCCAGTTGTTTGGTTGTTTTCTCGGGAATAAAAAATAACTCCACTCTACCTTCAGAGAGAATAAAGTTTCAGTATGCACGAAATAGTCCCTTTTCGGGATATCGAAGATGTTATCATTGAAAAAAAGGCAAGAGGTAGATACAATTGCAATAGTTCTCGATTCAAGGTGGACCAATGGAGAACATACACAAGATTACAACAAAATCTCCCTGTTTTGGCGATGAAGCAAAGCACCTTCATAACTAAATCAGTGTCAACTATGGTTGTCAAAAGCAAAAGTGACAGTGAACTGTGTACCTTAATGTTTCGTAAACACGCTCACCATGGGAATCCAGAACTGTCACCATATCCCAGTGATTCGGACATCACAATTGTTCGGCTGCAAAAGAACTCCAAAGCTGGCTATAGGTCTACAGAGGCATGCGAAGGTTTCGACCAATTGTGATTTACATTTACATTTATAACTACATTTAAAGTAACGGCTCCCAAGGTTCATCCCTGGTCCACTTACAACTAGGGTTCAACTGCTTTAGAACTATCATTAAAACATACTTAATATAAATCCATAAATTTGCATACTTTCAAAAAGGTATTCTTGGAGATGGATTTCATCTTACGGAGTCTTCGTCAATGGTCAATTTGGTAACTTTGGTCCCGTGTAGTGAGACTCCATTAGCAAAAGAAGATCACCTAGTTTCTTTATCTTCTTGGGATATAATGGACTCATTGTTTGTAACAAGTTCGGACTCCATTATTGATACCTCCAACATTAACAGAAACAAGCCAAGATTATCCCTAATCTCCTTCGCTACTGTAAGCAAACATTCAAAAAATGTTCAGACAGGAGTCCAGAAAGTAAAAATTACCCCTGACAAAAATGAGACACTAATTGGGACTTGTGCTGATACAAAGAAGAGTAACAATACTCGGATACTTTTCAACCGAAAGTCGAACGATACATCAAGACCACAGGTACTACTTCTCGCGACAGAAGAAGTTGAAGAAATTATCGCCGATAATTGTTGCAGCTCCAAAAACCAAAAATATTTGGCTAAATTTAAAAAACCAAAAAGAACTCGATTTACTACTTTGATAAGAAAAGCGTTTTGTCGAGCAGTCCACTCGTGTATTTGCCAAAAGCGAAACAAAGATTCGGCAGAGGAAGGAAAAAATTAATATTCTGTTTAAAATAAAAAAGCTGATGGTTTACCCGTTAATTCACAGCATTTGTTATTTTCTTTGTACCGTTTTTTAAAATAATGCAATACTTCACAATCTAAGTAATATTTTTAATGTATTATAATAATGAAATAAAAAATCAACATTAGTATCACAATTTTCCTTATGGATTGTGAAACTGCTAAAGATGTATTAAGAAGAAATTTATGTCGCGACAGTTCTTTTTAAATTATGCTGATCTTTTTTTTTTTAAATTTGAAACCGCATCATATAATTGAATAGCATGAAAAAATCAACGTACAAGTTAAATGTCAGGTTAATAAAATATAAATTATCATGTGTATTTAAAATCTTTATCACTGGTAATATCTGCAGCGTGAGGATCATTTTAATTCCCGTTAAATGAAGTATAAGCCTGGAAGAAGTCGACTTCTTCCAAATCTTCCGGTAGGTAATTGAAGCCAGATTTATCTTTCTGCAATGTATTGTAGCCTTTCCCATATCCTAAAGCATTAATTATAAATAAAAATAGTTATATGGATACAAAAGGATTGCACATGTATTCGGGTAAATTGATTCAAACTCGTGAGACACTTCATCACTTACCCAACTGTCCCATAAGTTTTGTTGGAGCATTTCTTAGAGGTAACGGTACCACAGGCTGTGGACCTTTATGGTTCTCTATGAGCCTTTGGGCTGCTCGAAGTGCATCCTCCATAAGCCGAGATTTAGGGGCCCGAGCCAAGTATGTAGCGCATTGTGCTAAAAGTACATCACAGTCTGGCATGCCAATCATTTTACAGGCATGCATAGTGTGTACTGCAACTCCTGGAAAAGAAAAAAACAATGCAATCCACTGATGGATACTGTTATTAATGATGGGCATTATAAATTAAGCGGAGGCATTTAATATAAATTAATGAATTCAATCAGTTGAAATGTAACAGCACTGAATCTAAAGTTGAAAACATTATTTATTTAATTGGTTAAAAAATCCAATATATCTTTTATTTTTCGAATCGCTTCTCGTCGTATTGTATAATCAAGAACATTTATCTTTCAATTAATTTATGCACACCTAAAGCTTTTGGATCCTCCAGACCAATGTCTTCGCAGGCCATCCTTACCATCCGCCGTGCAATGTATACCGGGTCTTCTCCACCGGATATCATCCTTGTCAACCAGTACAGGGCTGCATTGTCATCACTGGCTCTCACAGATTTATGTAGAGCAGAAATCATATCATAATGCTGATCTCCTTTCTTGTCGTACAGCATATGCGTCTTTTTGAGACTTTCCTGGACATCTTCTAATGTAATTAATCCTGGACCTTCTTTGACAGATTCAATTTTGTCTGGCACTTTCGATTGCACCGCTAACTCTAAGCCACCGAGAGCAATTCGCGCATCTCCATCACAGGTTTCTGCTAACCACTGTATAGTTGCATCATCTATTACAAATGTTGGTACATCTGCAATGATATTGGATTGTTCCAAAGCAGAACCTTCCTTTGTTACGACACTGTTTGAATTTGAAGGCAAATGAATCATTCCTTCAAGAGAAGATACAGCGTGTTTCAAAATTGAGATCAAATTAGGTGTTGTTAGTTTTTCAAGTACAATTACGCGACAACGACTCAGAAGGGCAGAATTTAGACTGAAAGATGGATTTTCTGTAGTAGCTCCGATTAAAGTGATTGTCCCCGCTTCAACATGGGGCAGGAATATATCTTGCTGAAGTTTATTAAAACGATGGATTTCGTCCATAAACATCACTGTTCGTCTACCAAATTTAAGTTCATTCGTTGCAATATTAATTGCTTCTTTAACGTCACTCACACCTGACATCGCCGCCGATAGTTTCACATAACGTTGCTTACTTTTTGGTGTTTGCTTGCATATATTTGCTATTACATTTGCCAATGAGGTCTGTAAAAAACAGTTTATCCGTTCATTCATGAAAAAGAAAATGAAAGAATGTTTGATGTATTTTAGTTTTCAGTCAAGTTCTATATACTTTTCCACATCCTGGAGGACCCCACAAAATAATATTAGGAATTTCAGCTTTCTCTAATAATTGGAATAATACACTTCTAGGACCGAGGATATGTTCCTGTCCTACATATCTTTGTAATGTCGTGGGCCTCATTCTTTCTGCAAGGGGCACCATTTTGACTAATTTCATTTGATTGGGTTCCTGAAAATATTTTAGGCATTCACAGCTGTACATACACAAACCGTGACATTTAATAAAAAAAAATTGAAGTAGTTAAAATAAACAAAGTGTACATACGTTGCAAGGAACATAATCTGACGTGAGTTGTCGGTGTGTATCTATGCAAGGAGTAGTACAAGTTTTACTATTACTTTTTCCTCCATTGGTCCCTCGATTCTTAACTCTCTTTATAGAAGGACTCTTGGTTGAAGATGGGCTGGGCATTTTGCTGGGACATCCTCCCATGGAATTAGAAGTCAATCGCTTCAGAGACTCTTTGAATTCCTTTGTAGAGGAATCATTCAAGAAGAGGCACCTACTGACGTGTGATTCAATCTCTGACAAGGAAAATCCTTTGCAGCAAATTGGACACTCCACACTTTCTTTATTCATATCGAAGGCTTTCAACTAACATTTAGGTTACACGATCTCTCCCAACAATTCAGAGTGTATTTAAATTGATCAACAAACTGCAAATTCGAGAATTACGATTTGAAACAACAGTTTACATTTAAAATTACATTCTTAACCCCTCGGTTTCGCAACAATATTTCCGCTGCACTGTTTCGTTCGCATCAAGTGAGACACGCAATTAATGAGCAACGTACAAATTTTGTACCGCTTCAGGGAACTAGAGAAGCAAGCAGAAAGGAATGTCGGTGTTGAGAGGTCAATGAATTCTAAGATTTTCGGCGTCAACACTGCGACAAGTACCGTTACAGGAGATGCCAATAGGTCAGGTTAGGTTGAGGAGGTTATACACGTTCATACACGTTTACCTAAGCGAATGCCGAATAAGTATAAACGGTCAGTGGTTGCAACTTCTTCCCAAAAAACATCTATTATCTATTAACAAGAATTGGATTCAAATTTCACACTTTGAAACCTTTGAAAAGCAGTAAAAATGCAAGCTGAACAGGATTGTGCATAGAATGCCCCCTTTCATAGATGCTTGATAATTCGAAGGTGACGATACTACCACCGGTTTTAAGGATGGAAGTTCGACGTAGAAAAACGAAAACATTGGACGGTACAAAATCATCCTTGCGTACAAAACTCAGCGCTAAGTTTGAAGATGACGAAGCTTCACAGAAGATTCCTCGAGATGAGGTAGGCACAACAAAAATATCCCACGTCACAAGGATGTTATTTGAAAAATAATGAGAGTAATATATATGTAATTTTTATGACTGTATAAATAAGGGAATCATTTATGAATAGCAGATAAGTGATTTTAAAAGTGATCAGAAATTAAAGATCATATATCAACATTTCTAATCGGTTTTTATAGGGAGCTGGAGAATCCGTATCGGGGACGTTGATTGAAAAGCTTGCCGAGTCGAAACCTTCCAAGGTAGCTCCGACAAAAATTAGGATTAATTTAGAGATTGACCTTGTTGCAATGATTCTCTTACTGGCAGGTCTTGCTACAAGACTATATAGATTAGAAGAGCCTCACAGCATAGTGTACGTTGGTTTGGAATAATAGGAATACTAAAGCAATATATATATTATTTAATATCACAAGGTTGTACAGTGTATGGGTTTTTTTACAGTTTTGATGAATTACATTATGGCAAGTATGTTGGTTTATACATGGTGAGAACATTCTTCTTTGATTCGCATCCTCCATTGGGAAAGCAGCTTGTTTCTGCGGCTGCGTATTTGGCAGGATTTGATGGACAATTTAAATTTGATAGAATTGGAAGTCCTTTTGGGGAGGATGTACCTCTGTTTGCATTAAGATTAGTACCAGCATTGTGTGGAAGTTTAGCACTTCCAACGGCATATCATTTAGCACTCGAAGTAGGCTTAAGACAGTGGAGTGCTGCAATTGCAGGATCATTGCTATTATTTGGTAACTTATCTTCTTACATATTTGTAGCAATGACAATGTAAAGGGTACAAATGTAATTAAATCTTTTTTAATTCATTTTAGATAATGCTTTCTTGACTCAGTCAAGATTTATCTTGATGGAAAGCATCTTAATACAGTTCTCATTGTTTGGATTACTTTGTATCATGAAGTTCAGAAAAATTATGGATCGGTGGACGACACCCTCTTGGTGGATATGGTTGTCTCTAGGAATAATAAATTTGACATGTGCTTTATGGTAAGACAGACATTTCCCAGGTCGGGTATTAAATCATTGTTGGTATTAGTATATTTCATTAGATTACAAAAATACCAATGTACAGTAAATTTCAGTCAAAAAGTTTTAATTTGACGTGATAAATATATTTTCAGCGTGAAGTACGTTGGGTTTTATTCACTGATGCTTGCATTATTTTTAATCACACGGGACTATTGGAATCTCATACCAAGGAAGTACTTAACCCGGACAGTTCTTTGGGGACAACTTCTTGCAAGGGTTTTTGTAATCATCTTTGCTACGAGTGCTGTATATTTAGGAGTTTTCTACATACATTTATCTACATTAACAAAAGCTGGACCTCACGATTCAGTGTTGACGAGTGCCTTTCAAGCAAGTCTAGATGGAGGGCTTGCCAGTATAACAAAGGGTCAACCACTGGAGGTTACGCATGGTTCCCAAATTACCCTCCGACATACCTTTGGCAGAGCCTGTTGGTTACACAGCCATACTCACATTTACCCTCTGCGATATCCGGATGGTCGTGGCAGTTCACACCAACAACAAGTGACATGCTATTCTTTTAAAGACGTAAATAATTGGTGGATCGTTAAAAGACCCGACACAACCGATCTAGTAGTAACTAAGCCGAATAAACCGATCCGCCATGGTCAAATAATTCAATTGGTTCACGGCATAACTAGCCGGGCTTTGAACTCTCACGACGTGGCAGCTCCAATGACGCCACAAAGTCAAGAGGTTTCATGCTACATCGACTACAATGTATCCATGCCTGCACAGAATCTCTGGAGAGTAGAGATTGTGAATAAGGAACAATCTGGTGACGTGTGGCATGCCATCCGCAGCCAAGTGCGACTGATTCATGTGAATTCAATGTATGCTTTAAAATTTAGTGGAAGGCAACTTCCTGATTGGGGTTTCAATCAACATGAAGTTGTTGCCGATAGGCTGGTGGAACAGTCAGATGCTGTGTGGAATGTAGAGGAGCACAGGTACACAAAGAGCGAGGACCAAAAGCAAAGAGAAAGGGAATTAATCAGTGCCGAGATGATTCCTCTACGAGCGACTACTTTAAGTTTTTGGGAGAAATTTATTGAGTTGCAAATTAAAATGTTCTTTAGTGGACAGGAAGGACAAAACAGCCACATGTACTCCAGTGGACCTCTGGAATGGCCCTTTATGGTCAGAGGCATTGCCTATTGGGTGTCCAATGAAAGCAACGTAAGATATCGATTTAATAAAGCAGGGTATAACAAGAAACTAAACTTTACAAAAATTAATGATTCTTTTACACATAAATCGGTAACTCATTTAAATTTATGCCACGTGAAAACTTTCCCTTCAAACCTGTCTTTTTAACGTCATTAGGGTGATACGTAATTTACTTAAATCAGTGACAAATAGGTGAATTAATTATTGAATTTTGATCTTATTTCCAGGCACAAGTTCATCTTTTAGGAAATGTGGCAGTATGGTATACTGGTACGATCGCAGTGATTGTCTATACACTTCTTTTGATATTTTACTTACTAAGACGACGAAGAATGTGTTTCGACATTTCTGACGAAGAATGGAAACGCTTTATGAATATTGGTGAGGTTTTCCTCGCCGGGTATTTACTGCACTTTCTGCCTTTCATGTTTGTCGAGCGAACATTGTTCCTGCATCATTACTTGCCGGCATTCGTCTTTAAGATTCTGCTGACTGCTGCAACAATGGATCACTTGTTCTATTTAATTGGGTCAGTTCATCAAATGTCTTTATAGCTAAAACACTTAACCTAAAACCGTTACATTATTTAAAACAAACAACTTTCTTTTATATGTGCAGATTTCACTTACAATGGAAGATAGTTTTATCTCTTTTCAAGTTGAGCATTGTCTTCTGGATTGGTTTCGTCATTTACGTTTTCAAGAAGTTTGCTGCTCTCAGCTATGGAATGACCCCGCTCACTGCCACCGACATTTTCAAGTTAAGATGGAGTGACACGTGGGACTTTATTGTTCACAAAACGTAAAGATTAAATCGAATGAATGGCAGTTCTTCCATTTTTTAAAATGGAAACAAAACTTGTGGTCATCTGTTTCGGGAGAATTGCACATGAAAGAACTGCTAACTGTCTGGGTCGCACTTCAAAGAAATGCAAGAATGTGTGTCAGTTTTAACGAACACTGAGGTCGCTATACCGAATAGTGTCCAAGTGAGATTAATAGGTAAGATAATACTCATTTCTTATACGCGTAATTTTATGACCAATAGAATATCTATACATATATTTTTATAGTTATATTTATGGATGTGGTTTATCATATATGCTTATGTTTTGCCGTAACGTTTGTTGGTTATACAGAGTAGTCTCAAAGCATTATGTGCAGGTTTTATTGGAATTATGTGACGTTACGTCTGCTATTTCCATTAAAGGGTTATAACTTTTTAAATGTACAATTTTTTTTTTGCAAATTGTCCTCTAACTGTTCCAGCAACTGAATATAGAAAAAAACTATCAATTTCTGACATTGACCATTTATTTTAGATATCGACACATAAAATTTCGATTACTTTCAACAATAAGATGTAATTCTTATAGTATAGTGTTTTTAACTGCCTCGGAAGTTTATATACAAAATGTTAGAGATGCGCGACTGGTGAACACATTGACTTAATCGTGTACACGTAGTCTTCTTGTGCCAATGAATGGACTTTGTTGGAATTCAAAGCTTAAACGAACACCGGGACGATTTCTGTACATTTGAGATAAAATAATACCGACACTTTTCTGACTTATCAAATGCTTGGATTTTACTCCAAAGCTGACTAAATTTGGTGAAGTACTTACAAATAGAATATTAAAAACATGAAAGTGGAAGATCTTTTGTATAGCGTAAGTGTAACATTGCACTGAATTAAGTGGAAGAAAACGTAAGAGGATAAACGAAATTCTCGTTAGCACAAAGTGACATCTTCACAGCTAGAGCTCTTGATCCGTCTTCTTTGTACAAAGATCATCGAGCATTTATCACTTTTTCTACAAAGGATGATATTAGTCCGGTAAAAAAAAAAAGACATTTTCGGTGCAATTAATGTGCATATATATATATATATATATATACGTATGTGTATATGTATGTACACATCATACCGACACACATACATACATACATACATACATACATACATACACTCTTATATATATACACGTATAGTAAAATAAGGCAGATCATTCTTTTCTTTTGTATCACAAATTTAATGTAGACTCCATCTCTTCCGTGTGATCAGCACGAGATCTCATTGAGGCGTGAAGAGGATGGTTCGAATAAGACAGTCTCGAATGCTGTCGTCGTTTTCAGCGACTCTAAACGTGAAGGTCACATTATCACAGGTAATCGTTTTAGCACACGTACCCAATGGATACCATCCTTCTTTGTCAAAAACTACACCAATCTTGTACATCTGTGGTTTAAATCAAATAGGAGCTTTAATTTTGATGCTATATTAATTTTCTAACGTTTGCAAGCTTCTCCCAAATTGGACTTACCTTGTTTTTTTCGATGTATACCGATCGGTTGAAGATAACTTCTACTAATGATTCAATTAGAACTTTCGTTGTGATGTGCGTGTACGTCATTCGAGAACTCTCTTTGTCGAGAAGGTGAGCGTACAATACTTCAGTGTACATCGATGGTGTGGCAATAAGCGACGTGCGAGCCGAGTTATCTGGCTGTAATTAAATCAGTGTTCATGTGAACACGACTGAAGTGGACGTGCAAAGGTTTTATCTACTCACCGCGACAAATTGCGATTTTCCAGTACATTTCACAATTGATGCACAAAATACTTGAAATTTGAGTATCTAAAAACCTACACATATATGCTCTCGTAAATTAGACTATCTTATTATTATAAGAAAAAAAGATTATTTATACCAACAATCACTGAAAACTTATACCATGTCATGACCTGTTGGGTATGGCAAAATTTTCGTGTCAGACAGTTTGGAGAGCTTGACATAGAACATGGAAGTCATTGAACCTGTGTATCGCTTAGAAGAGACGATACTAAATTACAATTTCACTAGTTAGGAGAAATGTATAGAGGAAAACTGCAATTTGCACGTTACTCACAACAGTTAAGGAACCCAGTAATACTTAGACCCATAAAATAGAAATTATGAATTTGACCCAAAATAGATATAACAAAGAACATACCCTAAGAATTTGTGTGGGAACTTGAATGCCGTATATGATAATATTTCTGTTCACACAGAATGTTACGGAACAGTCTAAACGATTAGTATTTAGGCATTGAGTCCCTCGCATAAATGTTCGTTCGCAATAAAGTTTTGATTCTTGCAGTGTCTTATAATTCAATAACGGTGCAACGTTATTCAGTGATAAATTAGAGTACGTAGAACTGTTTGGAATTTCCAACGTCACGGAGGGTAGCATAGGAAAATTCATTTTCTGTAATAAAATTTAAAGTTAACGTTAGAAACTAGTGTCAAATTAGAGGCTTCGACTAGTGGTTTAGCGATAGCCATATTTACAGTAGGTTTGACCATCATCGTTTGCACCTTGAATGGACACATCCTCTTTTGTAGGTTTATTGAGAATCCTTCCGGCATAGGGAATTTACTCTCACTTGACGATATGTTCATAAGGATGGCAAAGGCCTCGTTCTGTGTGAGCAACGGCGACTTTCCGGGTCCATTCGCAAATTCCTCCGGAGTCATAGTCAAAAATCGAATCTTGGATAATGAGTTACCGATGACGGACTTCAGAGACTTACCATCGGTTAAGTCAAGAGCTTTTCTAGTGCATTCCGACTTAGCCCACCGTTCAACAGCAGCAAACAGCTCTATCTCCGAGTCTATCGTCAGGTTATCCTGATTCAAGACAGTGACCAAGGTTCCCAGTTCCACCTCTTCCCAACTGGGATCGTACAACACATCCTTTGTGTTATTACAAATGATTTGCAAGCATTTGTCCATAAGTACCGGCTCCTCAAAGAGCTTAGCAAACTCATAAGCTCTGCAGGCCTTCTTCGACGACAAATCGGACCATAGAAACTTGGTGCATTCTTCGAGGAGTATTGGGAGCATATACTTTTTGGCTGTATAGCACAGCTCACAGGCGAGCTCGAACGAGCTTAAATCCACATTGTCTGTATAAATGTACTCAAGCAAGGCCTTGAAAGCTTCTGGCTGAACGTCAGGTATCGGGATTGGATCATTTTTCTCAGCCATACCACCAAAGAACATCGCCTCAAAGACTGGACTTGACATTGCGAGGAAAAGCTTATGCCCCTTGAGAATTTGCTGGTGCGGCTCTTGGCCCACAATGAAGTTGCAATCGGACCATTGTCCCGTCTCGAGGAGGTAACGACCTCGCTGTGAGACATTTCGCTTACTGATCTGCCAGTCACAGGGTAAGCCCATTGCCGAGGTAATTCGCCACCGCCGTGTGCGGGGCGGATCAACCAGAAAGGGAGCAAAAGGAGTAGTGACCCGACGACTTCAGAGAAAGAGGCTCGCGCGCAATGATCGCACGCAACGTTTATTTCCGTGTATTCGAAGCGCTAAGCACTGGCCCAACGGACGCGTCGAGTCTATTTTGGCACGGTCTACTCGACTCGCTATAAATACTGAGCTTGACATAAACAATCGACCGAGCGGGCCAAGAGGGTGGTCATCGGAGAGAGAATGAAAAAAAATAGACGTAATTGTACGAGTGGGTTGAGGGTTCATCCAGCGAAAGCAAATGTGCGCGGGAAACGTACAGCTTCTTGTACTAAACCGCTCCACAAGGTTCCTTTCAAGAAATACCACACATCACGTACCTTTCGATTCAAATGACATGCACAACCTCGCTATAATTAACCTATCTCGAGCTGTCAAAACACGCGACACAGGAACCGCATCTCGGCGGGTACGCGGCACACGACGCCATCTTAGGTACTTGCAATTAATAAATGACCTCCATCTTGGAAAATGGCCGTCTGGTGGTCGCCATATTGAAAGATGGCCGTCGTTACATTTGAGCACATTTGAGATTGTTTGAGATTGCTGGAGATTGCTTCCGAAGGGCCGTTTGGTCGTGAGCGTTGATATTTCCTTCCCGAATGTTATGGCAATTTTCAGCAAACTCCTTGATACAAGTGTCAAATCTATTTTGGCTTGGTCCACATTTTCCTATAAATATTCGTTCCAACATGTATGTATGTACATACACTACTGTATGTAATTAGACGAATAACGAACACAGGGGGAAACCGACAAAAAGTAAGGGCAGTACTCAGAGAGTAATATGGGTGCACGACCGAAGATTCGTCCAAAAAATTAATACACGCGTAGGAAACATCAGTTTTATTGAAAATTTCAGTTTTAAAGATACCCTTGGACAATAACGCATTATAAATCAAAATGACATGTACTCACACTATTGCAGTTTAAGCAATTTAATTTGGACTGTCGGAACAAATGGAACGAAATCACTTTTGGTGAATATGCTGTTTGTGATACGATGCCGAGAAGCCGTGGTTAATAGCGACGGATACTTCAGTTTATGAAAACTGTAGACCAGACCTTGGCAACATTGTAAAATCATCCAAACACGAGGATTAAAATAAAACAATGACTCGATACGTATTCGAGTCAATCTCCTCCGTTCAAGATTTTCTGATCGTATATCAAACTCATACGATCATAGATTTCCTCGTTTCTGGTATCGATAGGCTTTCAATCGCTCGAATCTCGTTGGCTTTTCCACGGAACGCGCGTCCTTTTCTAAAATTTCCTTTACGCGTTTACGTCAGTTTTGGAATTAGGAACGGTACTGAACGGTATTTCTGAATGGACGTCGGTCCACTCCAGTCCACTCCCTGTTCCGTGTGCAGCAATGGCAAGCAATGGGTAGCAGGGTGCAGCGTCGCCAGCAGTCGCCAGATCGCGTTCCGACCACTGCAGAGGTGGCCACGTGATCTCGCAAAATGGCCGACCAGAGGCAGCCATGTTGGAAGATGGCCACTGTGGTGCCGCGCAAGTTCGCAACAGCTCCCGACGGGCCGCTTTTCCGGAGTCGTTGACACTCTCCTTCCGCGAGTGATTCGGGTGATCCTCGAGTTCCGGGGAAGGCTTACAGGCTCGTCGGGATATCGGAACCACCGCTTCGCGTGTTCGTTCTCGCGGGGGAAGGGATGCATGGAGGCTGCGCCGTCCGATCGAGCGAACTTAACCACACTTTTTATCGGACGGCTCGTCGCTTCAACGTCTGCTCGCCAGTGCCCAGGTGGACCGATTGGTGAGGTGACTCGATCTCGCTGGAATGACGTCCAGGAAGCAGGCTCTTCCATCCGCTGAAGAACCTCTGACACGGCGTCGTACTCCGCGAGGGGGATTCGCGCTTTCCGTCGAGTTTCCCTCACCTTGATGACCGCGGTGGATTTTCCAAATGGCGCACGCACGACTCAGCTGTGTGCGCGACACGCTGCTCCGCGCCGTCGAGTGATGCGCCCTTTTATACAAGTTTTAACGCATCCGAGGAGGACTGGATACCGTCTCCGGCGCTATTAGGTACGTTGGCGGAATGGGACGATCGATAACGAAGTCGCGAGGTCGACGGAGCGGTCCGAAAATGTCTTTCTTTTGTGCGGAATCTTGAGGGGCACCTGCCGTACAGGACTCGCTGGGACCCACCTAATCGTACCGCTAGAAACTGTCAACGAAAACGGGCCACGACACGAAGTTTGTCGAGCCTAGGAGAACTAGGACACTGTCTCTTGCTGCTGCACAGTGCAGCAGAGTTGTCATGAAATTTCTTATTTTTTTCTTCCTAGTAACTCCACGCCACAACTCCGACGTGAATCCAATTAGGATCTTTTGGAGATTTTCTACAAATGACAGCATGGTCTTATTTTTACACTTTATTTTTCTCAAATGGTTATGCTTTGATAAATGATTGTAATGATCCAATGAAACGCCATAATTTTTTATGTTAGACATAACGTTAATGTTATTAAAATAAATTTGGTCTACAAAACAATTGCTTAAAAACAATAAAATACATTCAATTTAATCCTAAATTTGAAGTTTGTTAGGGGGACATTAAGGCGATCGATCGATACGTTAAAATAATAATCTAGGTTGAAATTATTTTTTTTTTTCAGAAAAATGAACATTAGGAAGGATTTGTTAGCAGAAATGATTTGTTCTTGCTGCTAGCATAGCCAGTAATGGAGATGCTTTTTCTTTAATGTTCGAAGAGTCGTAATCTGTGCTCGCAAAAGCATTGGGGAACTTTTAGCCAAAACAATGGAAACGATACGAGACGAAGACAGACGTAGGCGCCTTAGAGCACTGGAGGAGCGTATCAAAGATCCTCGTAGTATTACGAACGTCGACTGTTTGTTGGATACAGTCCAAGCTTTAGCAGCAGACTGTGATCATCCTAGCGTGAAACGTATGAAAAATATTGAGGCGTATATGAATAGATGTAAGTATAAATACCACTTGATGACAAGTAAATAGGGATGTTGACTATCATTGTTTATTTGAACAATGCAGCTGTAAAATAGTTGTTGTATATTTACCACCGATGAAAAGACTTTGGAAGTGCACACGCCATGGCATTGCATTTGATTAACCAATGTTATTATGGATCTTAAAATGCACTAATTAATATTAATGGTTGTAGTAATCGTTCAATTTTATAGATGACTCCGTAGCTCAGGACATTTGTAAAATGCGAATGCGCACCGACGACTTCACTCAGATTAAGGTGATTGGTCGGGGTGCATTTGGAGAAGTACAGCTGGTGAGACATAAGTCTACTCAGAAGGTCTATGCCATGAAGTTACTTAGCAAGTTTGAAATGGTAAGTAATGCCAAGTTTTGGATAACGAGGAGTTGCTTTAAAGTTATATTTTTATAGCTTTCGGACAATACTGCCTTTAGTTTGAATATACTGTTAAGGTGCTGGAAAATTAGAACAATGATTATTTTCAGATAAAACGATCAGATTCAGCGTTTTTTTGGGAAGAACGCGACATAATGGCCCACGCCAATTCTCAGTGGATAGTTCAATTACACTTCGCGTTTCAAGACCAAAAGTATCTGTACATGGTTATGGACTACATGCCTGGAGGAGATTTAGTGAATCTGATGTCCAACTATGATGTACCGGAAAAGTGGGCAAAGTTCTACTGCGCCGAAGTGGTGCTCGCGCTGGACGCTATTCACCTGATGGGATTTGTACACAGAGACGTGAAGCCAGATAATATGTTATTGGATAAATATGGCCATTTGAAGCTGGCAGACTTTGGTACCTGCATGAGGATGGACAGTGTAAGGGAAAGTCTTGATTGGAACACATCTTTTTGTCCGAATAGTAAATGTCGTGTATAAATAAAATTAACGTTAATTTAAACCGATTTATAAATGTTGAATTTAAGTATATATCGTAGATGAAAATTAATCGAGCAATCATAAAAATCTGATCCATTTCGGATAATTGTATCACTAGATTTTAAAGGTTGTCGAATTGAAGTTAACGCTTCGTGTTGATTTTTTAGGACGGTTTGGTCAGATCGGACACAGCAGTGGGGACTCCGGATTATATATCTCCGGAGGTGCTTCAATCGCAAGGCGGAGAAGGCGTTTACGGTCGTGAGTGTGATTGGTGGTCGGTCGGGGTGTTCCTCTATGAGATGCTGGTCGGCGATACTCCGTTCTACGCAGATTCCCTTGTGGGAACCTACTCCAAGATCATGGATCACCGAAATTCGTTACACTTTCCCCAAGAGGTGGACATCTCTCATTCTGCCCAAAGCCTGATCTGCGGCTTTCTCACCGATCGGGCAATGCGTCTAGGGAGAAACGGCGTCGAGGAAATAAAAACCCATCAGTTCTTCAAGAACGATCAGTGGACTTTCGAGAACCTGCGGGAGTGCGTGCCTCCGGTGGTACCCGAGCTCTCCGGCGACGACGACACCAGCAACTTTGACGACGTGGACAAAGAAGATGGTCCCGAGGAGAGTTTTCCCGTGCCTAAGGCATTCTCTGGAAATCATTTACCGTTTATAGGGTTCACGTATTCCGGAGATTACCAGCTGATGTCCTCCGAGGGCAGGGAGTCCGTTGACGGCCTGGAGAATCACATCAACAACGGAACCAGCGACGACGTCAAGGTCGCCCAGCTGGAAGGTCTCCTAGACATGGAGAGGAAGCAGGTGGAGATCCTGGAGTCTCGTCAGCGATCGTTGGCCACTCAGCTGGACGGCCTGACTCGCAGAGAGACCGAATTACGCGAGGAAGCCGGCAGGGCCGACAAGGAGCTGGCCATCTTGAGGCACAGCTACAAAGAAGCTCAGCGGAGGGTCGACCACGAGACGGAGACTCGGAGGAAGGCCGAATCGCTGCTGGTCGAGCTCAAGAAGAAGTTCGACGAGGAGCAGACCAGGCGAGCAAGGGATGCCAGTAACTCTCAACAAACGTCGGAAAGAGTCATCAGCTTGGAGAAGCAGATTAAGGAGATGCAGACCAAGTTGGAGAGGGAGACCGAGACCGTGACGAGACTCAGGAAGCAGGCGACGGAGATCACCGTGGCTCGGCAGGCCGCGGAACAGATGGCCGAGGAGCTTCAAGTTGCCAGAACTCAGCTCCAAGCTCAGAGGGATTCCTTGCAGCAGGAGGTAGCGAGTTTGCAGGTGAGACGGATGTAGCGATGGTTCGATCGACGCTAGGCGAGCGTCGGTTTATATGCCGGAGTGTTCATTGACTATCGATGCCTACACGGTAGGAATGTCCTAGAGATAACGCGCTGGTCTTCAATTTCAGGGACAACTCTCCAAGGAACGCAGCTCCAGGTCGCAAGCGTCCTCTCTCACGGCCGAACTGGAAACGCGATTATCCGCTTTGCACGTGGAGCTTGAGAGAAGTCAGGAGCGCGAAGAAAAGGCTACCTTGGATAACAGACAGCTGAACGAAAGAGTTTCGGCCTTGGAGAAGGAAGCCGCGAGCTTGACCGTCGAGCTGAAAGCTGCCCAGGCCAGATACAACCAGGAGGTCGTGGCTCATCAAGAAACCGAGAGGTCGAGGATGTTGTCGAAGGAGGAGGCCAACCTGGAAGTCGTCAAAGGTGAATTTACTCTTATCCTCAAATTACTCGATTATCGGGTCGATCCTCCTCCGTTTAGTAAAATTTGACGATACCGTAACTTCCATTCTCACGCTGCTCAGGCCGTATCGACCGCATCTTCAAAGGTAAACGGTTAAGTCATTATCGTCCGATCGCTAAGAAAAAAGAAAGAAAAAGAAAGAAAGAGAGAGAAAAATAGCGAAATCCTACGTTAAAACGTCAGCTCCTTTCCAAAGTAACCCGCCTAATCGAATAATGAACGTACTTGCATTTTGGCTGCGCGAAAACGATCGCATCACACCTTTCACGTATGTATCGCCGGTGCGGAGGCTCTCTCCGAACACATTGGCGCGCCCCGTCGCAGAGCAGTAATGCCAATTCTTTGTCTGGGCCTTCCTTCGGTGCAGCACTGCAAGCCAAACTGAACGAGGAGAAGAGCGGTAGGCAGCGGGCCGAGCTACTCGCCCAGGAAAAGGAGCGACAGACTTCGATGCTCTCCGTCGACTACCGGCAGATCCAGCAGCGCCTGCAGAAGCTGGAGGGCGAGCACCGCCAGGAGGTCGAGAAGGTCAAGGCTCTTCAAGGTCAGGTCGAGCAGGAACAACAGAAGAGGAACGTCCTTCAGGTCGAACTGGCTCAGCAGTCTTCGGAGGCCGGCAGGCTCAGGGCCCGGGAGCAGCAGCTGGTCGGCGAGGTGGCCCAGTTGAGGGAGGCGAAGAGGCAGATCGAGGAGGAGCTGCATCATCTGAAAACCCAGAGGAACGTCGATCTCCTACAGACGAAGGAACTGCAGGAACAGCTGGAGGCCGAGGCTTACTTTTCGGTAGGGCTCATTTCCGTCAGACGGGATGACGTAGCTTACTCCGTCTGGGAGCCTGATTTCCCTCGACCGAGATCGAGGGAAGATGACAATTTCACGAGGATTTCTTGTTTTACGCGTTTGTATCATCTTGAGCATGAAACGGTTACGTCGGTTTAACGTCTGCCGTATTAAATTGCTAGGTATACGATTTGCGTGACGTTGGAGGTGCTAATTTTTTTTTTTTTATTCGGTTGACCGCCGGGCGAGCGATTTGCTGATTCTTATTTGTTGTTTCAGACCTTGTACAAGACGCAAACTCAAGAGCTCCGAGAAGAACTCGACGAGAAAACGAGACTTCAGCAGGAATTGGAGGAAGAGCGCAGCTCATTGGTTCACCAGCTTCAGCTGTCGTTGGCCAGAGGAGACAGCGAAGCTTTGGCGAGGTCGATAGCGGAGGAGACGGTGGCGGATCTGGAGAAGGAGAGGACAATGAAGGAGCTGGAGTACAAGGACAGCGTGGCCAAACACCACCAGGAAGTGAGCTCGAAGGATCAGTCCATCAACAGACTAAAGGACAGTGAAAACGAGCTGAAGAAGACCATGGACCAGTACCTGAAGGAAAAGGAAGAGGCGAACAAGCGCCTGAAAGAGCTGCAGGATCAACTGGGCAAGGCGCAATTTAATGCCGAGGAGATCGACCGGCTTAGTAGCAAGTTAAAGACGGAACAGCTTCTCAAGCAACAGGCGGTCAACAAATTAGCAGAAATCATGAATCGGAAGGATCTGTCCTCGGGAAGCAAGACCAAGAACAAGGCTTCCTCGGCCGACCTTAGGAAGAAGGAGAAGGACTGTCGGCGACTGCAGCAGGAGCTCACGCACGAGAGGGAGAAGTACAGTCAGCTGGCAGCTAAGTGGCAGAAGGACCTTCAGGATCTCCAGGTACTCATTTTCGGTATAATATATATTTTGAGCGAATATCTTGTGGTATTAAAGTCATATTTACAAAGCTCCGCTCTCGTCGATCTTGTCGGGGCTTCGATCGTCCATAATGCAATTAGAAGAAGGAGTAGAATAACGATCGGGGTTTCAGGCGCAACTCGTCGAGGAGAATCAGGCGAAGTTGAGGCTGCAAATGGAGCTGGACTCAAAGGACTCGGAGATCGAGACCTTGCAGATGAAGATCGCCTCGATTAACTCGGAGACCGCGAGCGTGTCGTCCGTGGAGAACGACGGGGAGGACTCGGTGCTCTCGGAGCACGGGGCCATGAGGTTGGAGGGCTGGCTCAACGTGCCCAATAAACAGAACATCAAGAGGCACGGCTGGAAGAAGCAGTATGTCGTGGTCTCCTCCAAGAAGATCATCTTCTACAACAGCGAGAACGACAAGATGAACGCCGACCCGGTGTTGATACTGGACCTGAGCAAAGTCTTCCACGTGAGGTCCGTCACTCAGGGCGACGTGATCCGTGCAGATGCCAAAGATATTCCTAGGATATTTCAGGTCGGTTTAAGGCATATCGGTTAATTTGCCTAACGTTACTTGGTCCCGTTACCGTTCCTGTCGTCTCGTGCGCAAATATACGTATAGCTACCTTTTCTTCCCGCCAGTTACTCTACGCCGGTGAGGGTGAAGCAAGGCGTCCAGGGGACGAGGGTAACGCCTTACCCGGCGTCGAGTTGCCCCAGTTCACCGACAAGCCCGGCACGCAACCCCTGAAGGGTCACGAGTTCATATCCATTTCTTATCATATGCCGACCACTTGCGAGGTCTGTTCGAAACAGCTCTGGCACATGTTTCGCCCGCCTCCCGCGCTTGAGTGTCGACGTGAGTGCACCCCGGAGGGGACTTGGCTATTTTCCTTTCAACGATATATACTACGGTACGTACGGTACATACAATCGTGGACTCTTTCCAGGGTGTCGCATCAAGGTTCACAAGGAACACCTGGACAAGAAGGAGGATGCCATAGCTCCGTGTAAGCTGCACTACGACCCCAACAGCGCCCGTGAACTTTTGGTGCTCGCGGGCAGCCCCGACGACCAGAAGTACTGGGTTACCCGGCTCTCGCGGCGCATTCAGAAGTGCGGTTACAAAGCGAACTCGCACGTGGACGGCACCGGCCAGCGTGTATCGCCAAGGTAGCGTAGCCGGGCAGCTCAGCCGTGGACTAAGTAGCTCTTGTGTTGTGGCGTCGCATGATTGGGTATGGAGAGGTTAGACTCGTTTGATTTTTTCCTCCTTACTCTATATCTTCGCGTTTCTCTCCTCGAGATGCATTTTGCGTGCAAAATGTGTTTTTGTGAAAATTGACAGGGTTTCTTGTAGGAGTGATAAAGATAACGTAACGTTGTCCGAGCTTAGAACGTGTGTTTTCGCGCAATGCATGGTGCGAATTGGACGAAAGCAATCCTGGGCTTCTTAGACTTTTTTTAATTACCTCTTTCTAGAGTTGCGAGACGATTAGTTTCGTTCATTCGAGAGCTCTGCTTTTGCTTTATCATAGTACACGGAAAACGAGAATACGATTAAATACGTTTGGTTCACTTCGTGATCTTTGTATGTACCTTTGGTTTTGCATTCGCATCGAAACCCATGTACAGACCTTGAATTCCTGGGCTTTCGAGGTGTGACAAATTAAAAAATGGATAAAAAAGATAACGTTCTTTTGCAGCAGTAGTTTTAAGTAAACGTAACAAATTTCTCATAACTGTTATAAAATGAATTTAACGACAATTATTTTAAAGTCAACTTGATTGAATCCTAATCCTTTTCCAAGGGTTACGTTAAGGATTAACCGAGCTTCTTCGGCAATGAAAAATAATTTGTCACCTTATGGTCAGATAGTTTCAAATAGTATTAGCCTTCTACTTGCAATGGCGTGCATTTTTGTGTTTTACTCGTGTATTTGAAAGCAATAAAAAACCGCCATTAATGTACGTCTCATTTTCAGGGAATCTACGAGATCTACGTTGAAGCCTTATTTATCGGTTCAACAGAGGTCCGCAACTTTACCGGCGAACGCTAGTATGGGCAAGTGACCGTAGACTGCTTCCTCGCCGATAGAGACCTTAATGTGCTACCGATGGTCCACGGACTTCGGTTCATCTTCCGGACGTAGGAGAGAAATAACTTAGCGGTCTCTTTGTCATCGATACTTGACAGATGCTCCGTCAGGTCGTGGCCTTTCGAAGGATTTTGTACATAATTTACCTTCGTGAGCCGAGCGACAGGCGCGACTCTGTAGGTGCATCCCCCAGGTGTCCGTGATCGACCGATGCCATTATTTCGAGTCACTTTTACAACTATCGTTAAGACCTAGCCTACGGAGAACGCGGAAGACAACGATCTTCTCGTCCGACGACTTTAACGAAAGCAACGGTGCATTTGTCGGGAGCAATCGGTGGACGATCATGTTTGAAGAGTTAAGATTCGAAGATGTTCGATCGGTACTCGAAGAGAAGCGGAACGTCAAAAGTCAAGGTAGAGGATGTGTACTTTTTATTGTACTGCCATCGAGGACTGCATTCTCCGTTGCTTACGTCATTGCCAAAGTGAAGTGCTTCGAGGACTACTACGATAGAAGCTGGCTTGCAGAAGTTCTCCGGAGTAGTCAATTTAAAGATATCCGTTTGCCATTATGCTAACAAACTCGCTTTATACATCCTTAGGACACGTTGTGCATGTTGAAAGGAAAAGGAACCTTGTTTTAGGGTCGTGCAGACATTTGTACAAGCGGAATTGCTGGATTATTTCTTACGAAAAGTTGTCACGCGTTTAAGGGGAACTCCGATGACATGCTAGGAAATCTGTGCATTTTACGGTCCTCTGTAGGCTTTGAAGAGTATCGATGGATCGCTCCGTCGATCGCTATATGCGGTTTCTTTTTTTTTAGGTTTCAATTGGCGAAAAATTCTATTTTTTATGCACGGATAACATATCTATTCAGATATTGACAGGGTACAAAGTCCTTGGCATGACGTCGGAGTCTCTTCGATCTAGGTGTGTCAAAAAATGTATTCCAAATGACCACTATTGCCGAGATTAGCTAGACAAGTTATAATATAACCGAGTGCTCGCAGGATCGTTAAAAGACGGCTACGAAGCATAACGTGTAGGGTGCAATTTAAGGGGGGCTTTCTCGAATCAGCCGATCCCGTGCAGGGGCTCTCCTTCCAAGCGATTCCAGGCGACGGGAGACCAGCACCACGTGCGGATCCGAATGCGAATTGTTCATAGATTTCTACGAACGTTTAGAATTTGATATACGACTTTCCTTCTTTTTGTAAATATACACGGCGTCGCGGCTGATTGCAAGGTTCTAAGGTCGACTCCCGCGAGCGCGGTCGCGCCGGGAGGGGACCGTTCGCCGGACTTCGAGGGGAATACGATCTTTAGGGAAACGCAAACTCATAGTATTATTATTTTTATACATATTATCTATTTCGAGAATTAAGTATTTAATTGCTTTAACGAGTCGGCCGAGATCCGGTAGAGGCCGGTCGTGCGCTTAGCTGACCGCTGAAGCTTTCAAAGTTAGGCGAATTCGAGGGAGGAATACCCTTGGCTCTTTCGATAGCGTTTAGCAACGATCGATGACGAGTTTTCGGATCGACGGAGAGAGTTTCCCTGACGTGCTATCGGGACCATCTACATTTGATCAATGTTTTTCTTTCCTGTCGGTAGAAATTGCAAACGAGCGGAAAGCGCAGCCGAACGTCATTTTAAGGGTCCCGTTGAACGTTCTCGTTGAACGTCCACCAGGACCTAAATAGTTTTCAACCAATCAAGCAACGAAGGGTTTACCTTTCGCTCTCTGAAAGTAAGGGAAACGATTTTCTACGACTTCTTAACGTTGGTGGAAGGTGTTATCGTCGGTCAGGAGATTTTTCTGAGGTCGGTGAAAACGCGATCGGCCGAAATCGAAGGGGAGCGAGCAGGAGAAACGAGTGCTAGGGTACAGCGCTAAGAGTGGGCTTCGGTGTACAGTAGACCGTAATTTACGAAATTAAGATCGTAATCTCTAAGGATTTTCCCATACAAGTAACGCCATAACGCTATCACAAATTCCGGTAATATCGTGCGTTTAATCCGAATATGCGTTAAACGAGGTAGGAGACGCGCGATCGTTAACGCTCGATGCGAGTCTCATGACGCGAATTTCCGTGCAAGAACGAAACGTCTTCGAGGAAGGTAAACCTTTGCGACACCGTTCGCGTTCCTTCGATCGATCTAATGGAATCGATTAAAATCGTCGATACCGCTGGCACGCGCAAGAATGAAAATCCGACGTCGGGGATGAGAATGTATGTACAGAAGTAACGGTAAGAGGGAACTCGCGAATCCGGCAACGAGCTTTTAATTTTAAACGCCTGGAGTCTAGACGCTAGGACCAACCCGATTATCGTTTAAACGATCCACTTTTGAAACTGTCCGGTCCAAGTGATTTGGATGTTCACCCTCGGCTGCCGAGTTGGGTTCGTGCTCGTTCGGTTCTTTGCTCGTCAGGATGCAACGACTGTTTCCCTTTTCCCCTTTCCCGGGATTCCCCGATTATTAACGGTGTACACGAAGCATTAATTTATTTATCGCGTCTTCTCGATCGAATTGCTATTCGTTGGTGCGCAAAAGTCAGGCGGTGTCCGTTGGGGGGACGGTATGCCATGCCCGATACACGAGATCGTTCTTGCACGAGACAGCTTCCTCGTCGATGGTGCTCCCTGGTCTCCGGGAATGACCCGGAAGAAGCGGATTCTCTTTAAGGTGTCTTCGGGGATCGATCGCGTTAGTCCGCGAAGACGAGAAACGACTAGAAGAACACCTTGGGACGCTCGATTACTGCCCCGTGCCTTCTTCCCTTCCGGTTTCGTGGAAACGTCCAACACGGACGGAGGAGTTCAGATGACGGCGTCGACCCTGAACGCAGAGAGAACAGAAAACGAAACGGAACTTGTTACAGCATATTTTATTATTGTTTAGTTATTTACAATCTGTATATTATTACGATTAATTAATATTACCGATTAAAACTATTTTGTAGATAATACGTAGATCTCACGCATTAATCGGGCGCACGATCCCTCTCGTTTCAGATCGCGCCATCCGTGACCTTGGGCCCGATTCGATAACGAAGACGACTCCGAAGAACCTCGAGATGAACCTTGTAACGCGACTTCTCGATCACCTCCGACCGATCTGGATCCTGCGCGTAGACGTTCAGGAAATTATTCCGCATCGCATCGAGCGATTCTCCCTGAAGCTTCAGGTTCAGAATTCCTTTCTTTAATTCGAAACCTCGACTGTTCCTCGTCCTTTCGATTTGCGTACGAATTACGTCGCATTTCCTTCGATGCCCTTTAAGCGAGTGTCCAGTGTAATTAAAAAACGCTCGAGCTCGCGACGTCATTGAAATGAAAACGTTTGACGAGGCGTAAATCTTACACCGGTCTTTCGGTGGTTACGCTTACTCCGCGTTAATTCCTCGGGCGATTTTAACCAACGTGGATCACTCGCAGGGAATCGCCTTGACAATTGTTAATAACAACAATAGGTAAAAACGTTATACCGCGGTTAGGAGTTGCATCTCCTTAGATCGCGGTCGCTTACGACTCGAGATATATGTGGAAATGTCGCGGCACAATTGCTACGCCGTGGACACAACGATGCAGGAAAATTTCAGCTTTCAATATCGCTCATGGACATGGAGGCTATAGTCGTTGCACTATACGTTTGCAAAATTACTGCGATTCGGCATTCGATCGCAAGCACGGGAGGGCAATTTTGCAAACCTATCGTAACTAGTTGTCTAGCGTTGCATGGGAATTGTTCGCGCCGATCCTTCTCGTCTCTTGGTTTAAGGTGTAACGCTTAAAAATGCTTATTGTTCTATGTCCTCGCTACGCTAGTTAGAGGCGATATCGATCGATAAACACATGTACGGCGTGATAAAACCGGGGCTACGGGGTCCCGTAAGAATGCAGGGTACCTTACTCGAGCTGCCTAAAATTCCGCCTAAAATTCCGCCTAAAATCAGCGATCATTCGATTCCGCGTGTTTCCCAGGTCAGAACGCGAGCTCTCGAGTCTTCCACGTTTGGACTCCTTTCGATCGAGCCAGCTTCTCCGTATCGGCAATTGCATCGGACGGTTGCAAATCTGGTAATGAAAAGTACGGAGCGGTGGACGAAACTACTTGAAATTGCTGAATTGGAACGTATATTATAGCGTAGTTCCTTCCGTTAAATATTCAGGAAAATCAAGAATCTATATACCGCGATTATTCGTGGTCGGCTTTTTGGGGATTGACGGATTGGAGAGTCGTATCGCTCGTCCCGCAGCTCGTGGAGACCGATACGTTATGCATATAAAAACTTGATAAATATTAACCATTATGCAATTGCGAGCGGCGCCCATTTCGTCCCCTTTCGTTCGACTTTTTGTATTTTTTGTTTGAGTTCATACGGTACAATGTATAGTCTATGAATTTCTCTGAATATTTATGTAGACGAGGGTGAGTCTCGAAGTGGGCAATTTGCAAGCGTTAACATTACGTACAAATTGCCATTACTTTTTGACCGACTCCTCGTACACAAACGCTACCGCAAAACTACGAGCTCCTTCGAGTTTACGTATCTCCTTTTCGTAGTACCCTCGGTAACTTTATTTCTTCTTCCGAGAATTTGCCCACCGAGGAACGTGCGCCGAATAACCAGAAGCTAACGCCGCGGATCGTAATGGGCATAAATGATTTCCGAGCTGATCGCCAGCTTTCCGACGAGACCGCGCAGTCTCGAGGCGAATGATTATTTTCTGACAAAGCCTATCAGGCCGCGGTTCATGATCTTTGGCTTGGACATCTTCATCTGGCCCTGGGGAGGCGGGTTCTGCTTCCGTGTCTGCATCTGCACGCGACGACTCGAGGGTTGCGGCTGATTGTCACCCCGAGCGGCCAGACCCTGCCTCTTCAGGGACTCCTGCTTGGCACCTCTGTGCAAACATACACCAACCGCTCTCACACCTTCTATTTGTTGCTGAAGGAGGAAGAGAATGGGTGTGCACAGGCACGGTAAATAAAATCAAACAAGCGGAAATACGCGACAGGGAGTATCGCAAGATTTCAAAACGAGGTCGAACAAGGCGTTGCGAATAGGAGAGACCGATGGAAGGACGTTGAATGCACGTTCCCTAGATAAATGATAAAGAAAAGGGACGTAATATCTTTTAAACGTCGTGTACAGATATCGTGGATTTACGTGATTCCGGCGGGGAATGTAATTCGATGTGCTCAATTTGCAGGTAACGTGCAAAAGGACGATCGCGACGAAGACGTCGGAGCCGTCGATGTACTCACAGATATCGCGTAAGGTCCTCGACGTCCACCAGCATGGAGTCCTGTTCCATGTGAAGATCATCTCGTCTGAGTAGACCTTCTACCAGAGCTTCGTTTAACGATGCGATCCTAGCGTGAAGATCGTTGGCCACTATTTGAAGTTGCGCCACGTTAAGCTCCGTCAAGAGAACCCTCGATAATCTACGTCGCTCGTCCCCGAGTTGAACTCCAACCTGAAAGATAACGAAATCCTGAAATACCAAGGACGCGTAGGTCCCTTTTCGGTTTAACGGAAGAACGCTGCCGAAGTTCCCGTTCGATCGGATGGGCCTTGCGAACGTCACGGGCACCGGGAGGTAGGCCTCTTTGCGGAAGCTGCTTTCCCAAGGCGCGGCCAACCCCGAAACGACTCGGGCGCCGGATGCCAACCTTTTCCAAGCTGGACCGAACCATCTCGGTGATGGGGCTTTGCTTGAGCCTCTGCCGTTCGACTTCCATCTGCATGTGGGCCATCTCCTTGGCCTGGGCCAGGGCCATCCTGGCCTCGGTTTGCAGCCTGGCCTGACGAGCGAAGAAATCCGCCTCGTCCACGGGAGCCGAAGAGTCCGTTTCCAGCCTCAGAGGTGGCAAGACGAGGACCTGGGGCCTCGAGGGCTGAGACAGCTTCGTCCCCGAAGACGGGGTCTGCCCCGGGGACGAGTCGCTCTCCGATACCTGGGATTCCGTGTCCGAAGGTGTCTCGTTCATGAAGCAGATTTGCAGATTCATACCTGCGAGCCGAGTTACGTTCGTTGGTTCGTTGGAAGAATACAGGACTAATCTACAATCTCGAAGAGGAAGGCGATACCCACCGCTCTGAAGACGAGTCTGCAGACTGGGCTTCCTTCCTCGCTCGGCCCGCAGGTCCTCGGCATCCGGACCCATGGCCAGCCTCCTCCGGATCTCCTCTCGGTCATTTCGACGCTGAAAACGGGGATTCAAAATTAGAAACGTCGCCTCCGGACTCGGCACGGTTTGCGAACGTTTTGCCAGGTTTTCGCGGAATACCTGGAAATAATACAATTCTCATATCGGTTACATATCGGTAATGGAAACAGCGTTTTCTAGCTCCGCCGCCCTTTCGCACCTCGTGGGATACATCGGGGTGTCCCTGAATTACTCTGTCGAAGCGAGCCAGAAGGTCCCCCTTTTCAGGATTTTTTGGCTCCGGATCTCGACCCGCGGCGACGGCCTGCACGACTTCGACGACTCTCTCGTCTTCCTGGAGAATATAAATTAGGCCTCCTTCCTCAGCCAAAGTCTTCATAACGCCTATCGTCGCCTCTCGCGGTGGCCTCGAGCCGTCGACGTCGACGTCGAACTCGAACGACTCGAGAGCAATTCGCGACTATCGAGATGCCGTGACGTCGGCATTGCTCTTTAAACTCGAAAATCGGCCGGTATCGTCTCGGGGAATTGCGAGGAATTCCGGGGAATTCCGGGGAATTCCCGGAAGATAACTCGCGGGGAACCGTAGGTATTCGAAGAGACGCGAGACGCGAGGCGCGTTTCGTTGACGTTAGGTTCGGGAGAAACGTCGCTGTCGGGACGTGGAGGCATCGGAAACCATTTCACTGGGTTTCTCGTTGCTGTCGGCAAGAGAAACGCGATTATATGTAGTGGAAGGGTTCCGGGAGGTGGTTCCATCTACATTTTCTGCATCGAGTGCTCGTCGTCCGAGCTCCTCCTCGAAATCGCCAAGTTAGACCGCGCGATGCGAGATTTTGACAACTTCGGTAGCGATTACACTTGACGAAATTGGGGGAGAACGTTTCGATCATTAACGTATTCTTTATAGATTTTAAAGGATAAACGAGTCTCGTAGATTCCGGTGAATATTTATTAATTGGACGCTTTGACTCCATAATTACCGAAACCGTTGGTACTCCACGCGGCCCCGGATGTTCTCAATTTCCTGATACGTTATCAACGAACGACTTTCCGCTCGTTTCTCTACGCGAAGCCGTGGTATAAAAATGAATTTAATTCGAGGACGCGGACAGAGACCTTCGTTTCCCCGGAAAATCGAATCGTTAGCCACGCTTTTGGGCGATCGAGGCCCGGGAGTATCCATTTTACGATTCGGTAGCTCGGTATTTGGAGCACGTCAAATCCTCGATTTTCTTTGACTCCAGGCGAGCGCGAGAGGTCGACAACAGGTGTCGAGGAGAGACGACGCTTCACTCACGAGATCGAAGTCATTGTCGTAAGTAAAGGTGTAAAGATCGGTTACGAATCGCGAGTCCTTCTTGTAGTGTCGCCGGGATTTATTGCTGCTGCCCATTTTCCCGCGCGGGGCGAAACATAAAACGAGCGAACTTTTTCGAGCGGAATCGGGCCGAGATAATCGAGATAATGGGAAACGAGCCAAACTCGGTAGAACGTTTTAGGCAGCGCGACTCGGTAGAGCGTTTTAGGTAAACTGAGTCATTGCGAGCGGAGTTTCTGGCTTAGGCCGCGTAGTGAAAGTTCTTGGAGCGATCCCGTAGATCGGCGTGTACAAGTGTCGGTACACTTGCGCGATCCGAGTACTCATCTCGGTAGTCGATCCGTCATTCCCGAGCCCATTTTCTCGTTTCCAACCAAGCTCTGCCAACGTTGCCAAAAAAAACGCTATTTCATTCTTAATCGGTGCGAGATTTTTCATTTACGGCTATTCGGAGCATTTTAAATCCCTCGAAATAAGATCGAGAGGAAAGCGAGCCGACAAGGAACTGCGCACATGTCAAAACCGTTCGACTCGATTGCAGGGTAAGTTTTCATCCGGTGAAAGTGGAATAACGAAAAAACATATTTCACGCGATTATTGGTATTTTTGAACGGCGTTTCACCGCGCGAGGAAAGTGGCGACGAAGCGGAGAATCGATGGGTTCTCAATTAACCCCCGATTGACAGTTTTTCGGTGTCTTATCCGGGAGTAGGTGTGCCGCGGTGGGTCGACGTTGCACGCGTCGTGGTTGGTCGCTCGAGCGCGTCTCTTGCTCGTTATCCGGCTTTCGGTATCACCCGGGACAAAAATTCGAAAAATCTACCCAGGGAACGGAAACGACGTCCCGAGGAAATTTTTTCATTTAATCGTTATCGGTGAAAACGTTAAATGGTCTTCTTTCGGAGAATGGAGGAGTTCGCTTATCGGAGAAATTACGCCCCGGTTTCCTTCGCGCGATCGCCGCTCGTTGTCGTGCCACGCGAAACGGGAGATCACTTTTCATTTGCATACGATGGCATCGCAATTTTAACGAACAGCCTTCTCTCTGAAGCGTCCAACTTAGACGGCGTGGGACTGGATCGGATCCACGATATCGATTGTCTCAATGAAACGGCCAATGGAGCCAATTAGTACGCGAACCGCTGCGAGAGAACGTTCCTTCCACTCGTAGTTAACGATCTTAGTGCTGGAATCTTCGCACTGGAAAACATATTTACTCGCCCTCTTGATTTTTCTCTTTTTCTTTTATTTCTTTTTCACGGAAGTCGAACGACTCGACGATCGACATACCTGACCGATCTTTCCGTTAACGTTTCCAGATAAATCCAAATCCAAATGCTTGGGCCGGATCGCAGGGCGTCTCGTTGCGATCATTCTCTCCGGAAGGGGCGATCGGCGTCATCGATCGACGATCACTGGACGGAGCCTCGATGCCGACGCGGCCACCTTCGGGACGAGGATGCACCGACGGCGAGTTCTTCGACAATCGCGGTACACGGTTTCGACTTATTTATAGCGGCTGAATGTCAGAGTTTATCGCGGAAACGTCGATGAATTATGACACGCCTGGTCGGCCGGTCCAAGGGTCCGCCTTCTCGGTCGACCTTAAGAGGTACCGCGCGCACCTTTTCCAAACGAGCCGACGATCTTCGACCTTAATCTCGACCTAGTCTCCCCTGCGTCAGGGAAAATTGCCCAAGACGGGAATGTGGTGGGACGTTTTTCGAGCCGCGTCCCGATTCCGGCGTCGCTTGCGTTCCGGCAAGAATCATTTTTTTCGATTCGACGTCCCGCGTCCAAGTGGCGGTTAGCGTTTCCCTTCGAGAGATCGGTCGCAGCCAGAAACGAAACTGGCGGTGGCCATCGAATCCGAAGTCGCGATACATACCGAGACGAAGCCCTTCCACCGAATCTATTTATTCCCGGAGCCGCGCGACCGATCTCGTCTCGAAGAAGCCGCACCCGGGGACTGGCGACACCCACGCGAGACGACCGCGTTTCCGAGCGGACCGATCGTAGGTGGAAAGAAACGACGTATCCGCCTTACCCTGCGCTCCTCTTCTCGAGCTGCCCTCAGATGCGACTCGATGGCGTCCAGGTCGATCTTCGGCATCGCCGTCTCGATGTTGTAAACGTCGAAGCCGCCTGCAAAGGAGGCGCGTCCGATGTAACGCCGTCGAAGATGCAACGCTTTACCGAATATGACTTTACCTGCGGTGTTGTCGGCGTCCGCCCTGCGCTTATCCGGACGCCTCTGCGGAACTACGGAGTACGATTGTTGCCGCCTCCTGGCCTGATTTCTGGCCATCTTTTCCTTCTTCCGACAATCCGCGGAGCTCGCTTCGGGGAGATCTCGGTCCAGCAGCTTGTTCGTGTCCTCCCTGTCCTCCCTCGTGACGTCTTTCGGGACCTGGGGACGCGCGTCCATGGCCTCCATGGCCACTACGTCGGGAACCGGTTGAACGTATTTCTCCAGGTCGACTCCGATGTCTCTGCCGATGGAAGACAGGAGGTCGATCTCTTCGAGTTTAACGTAGGGTGCGGGTTCCTCGGAATCGCCCTCCGACTTGGGGCCGGGTTCGACCTCGTCGGTCGTTTTCGGAGCTTGGATCCGGACCCCGACTCGGTTGCCTATCTTGGACTCGGGCGGCAAAGGCAGCTCCTTTGCCTCGCGGATGAGATCGATGTGCTCCACCGGACTCTCCTCCGGCTGGAAAACGAGGCGAAAACGGTTGAACGAATTTTCCGACCCCCTCGACCCTCGAGCTTCGTCGCTCGATTCCAGGAAATTTCTGAAATTTCTGAAATTTCTGAAATTTCTTATCCACTTGGAAACCTACGTCTCCGACTTCGCTGGTCTTCCCGGAGTCGAGGATCTCCTCGATTTCGGGGAATTGCAGAGTTTCCTTAACGGAGGTGGAGAGCTCCAGGACCTCCACCTCGTCCGGAAGATTCGCGGGACGACGGTCGACGTCGCGATTCGGGACGCGGAGCTTCTCCTTTCCTCGGAGATGATCGGCCTCCTTCCGGGGACTCGAGGGCGACAAGGTGGTGGTTTCCTCCTCGACGCCTTCGGGCTCCGGAGAAAGGTTCTCCTCGGACCTGCTGACTTGGACGCTCTTGACGTAGTTTATGCACTTCTCCGACGTCGGGAGGACCGACTCGTACAGGGCGGTCACCGTCTGCGACACGAGGAAACTCTGCTCCGTCACCGCTCTCCCGACGTTCCTCTCGCGCGCGAACCGGGACGTCCGGAGAGGTCCCGGAGGAGCGTTCGTACCTGTATGTTGAACTTGAGCTTCTCGTAGAAGGGCTTCCGTTCGGAGTTCTGGCCCTCGAGGTGGTTGACGCTTTCGGCGGAGTCGGCGTCCGCCTCGAGCTCGGCCCCGGTCTCGGCCCCGGTCTCGGCCCCGGTCTCGGCCGAGGTGGAGCCAGCCTCCTGCTCGTCCTCCGTCGAGTCCTTGTCGGAGAAGAGCGAGGGCGCCAGGTGCTGGAAGCCGGGGTAGTTGGGGTTGACGATGCCGCGGCACCCCGACGGCAGGTTGCCCTCCTCCGACCAGTCCGACCACTCCGAGGGCGTGAGCTCGCGAGAGGACGAGCCGGCGGAGTTACGCCCTGAGAACACCGGACGCACGTGGTCAACATCCGACGAATGAGTCACTCGGACCGATCCCTCCCTCCACTCCGCCCGGACGCCCGCGGGTCGGGGCCGCGGAAGTCTCCTTTCCCGGGAGTTCGAGAGCCGGATCGGGTCGAGAAGAAGAGAGAAAAAGAGAAAAAGAGAAAAAGAGAAAAAGAGAAAGAGAGGAGGGTCACCCTCGAAGTCGGCGAGACTCTCCGCGGAGCTGCTCCGGTAAAGTCTGGAGGCGGTAAGGTTGTTGTTGTCGTTGACGTTGCGGCAGTTCTCGGTCTTCGAGTTCTCCACGGTCTCGACGTTCGCCGAAGACCAGTCGACGTTTCCTGCCTCCTGCGGGCCGAACGTCGCGGAGGTGTCGTTGCTGTTGACGATCTCTTCAGGCCCGAGGCTCCCCCTTTGCAGCTGACTGGAGAAGAAGAAGAAGACATTGACGCCCCCGGCTTCGAGCGAACGAAAGGTATGCACTCACTTGTTGTTCAATCCGGGATGCAGGGGAACGGAGACCACGGCGTCCTTGAGGCGCATCGCGATGCCTCTGAAACGGGAAACGGGGAAAGCGGCGATTCGGTCGGCCATCCGGCATCCTCTTTCCCTTCGATCCGCCCTCGTCGCGTCCACGAACGAGACGAAGCCCCGAAGATGGCCGGGAGTCAACGGTGCCTCGCGGCCGAAGACCGAGGACGGGACTCGCCGTCCACCATGTTGCAGTTGCGCCTTCTGGCCCGGTTTATCGACTCGCGGAGCCACCCTTGCCGGTGCGCTTACTCCACGTGTCCGCGTGTGGGTGCGCGCGCGCCTACCTTCTCGGTTCCCACACCGACGGGAGGAGGCACTCGCACGCGCGCGCGCTACCGTCCCCGACGAGGAGGACGGATCCGCGAAGGTGGAGGGAACGCGGACAGCGCCCCGACGAGGTGGAGGTCGCGTCCAAGGTATGCGGGACGTTTCCCCGCCGGCGAGGCCGCGTCGTGCTCTCGGATGCCGAAGGGAATCCTCGGCCTCGACGCGATCGATACGGAAGTCTACGGGACGCCGAGGCTCTCCGGGTGTCGCCGGAACGAGGACCCCCGCTCGCGTTCCCGAGGGGTACGCCCCCGGTTTCGATCGTCCAGGGGTGCATCGGGACGAGCGAGTCCCAGCGAAGCCCCAAGGGGCAACCCTTATTGATTTTTTTAATAACGCGGATTCGTTTACGGAATACGAGACGTTGCCGCGCGGTGTGCTCTACCGAGTGGGCAGGGAACGCGTAATCGAAACGTTTTTTCTTTCTTATTTTTGGCGACGAAATCAACGTCAGGGGATCCTCTCGACGCGGTGGCGTCGTAGGCCGCCATGATGACGAAGAGCCGGTCATCGATCGCCCGGAGCCTCCCTTCTGGTTCCCGAAATTCCGTCTTCCAAAGGGCAACGATACCTTTACCCGGGCCAAAATTCGACTAATTCGACTCGAAAAGGAAGTAAGAACTTCCCGGGGCCACTCTCGGACCGACCTCGCCTCTCGCCGGGCTTTCCTTCGACTCGATGCCGTCGGAACGGAGCATCGAATCGTGCAAGTGGACGCTCTTGAAGGGAACCCGATACTCGATTACACCGACCACTCCGCGAAAGACGAGTCGTCCCGGCGTAGCCTTCCTACCGTTTCATCGATCGCTTTATTTATATTTAACTCCATCTCCGGGCTCGTCTCCGCCTGCCCAAGATCACCGTATCGGGCATCCGGGCCGGAGAGATACGTCGCGTTCCTTCCAGGTCGAAGGGAGCCGTCGCAAGGCGGAGGAAGAGGAATCCCTAGAGGTGCTTCTTAAGAAAGCGGGGCTTTCGTTTCAACGGGGATTAAGAGCGAGGCGATCGAGAGGCTCTTCGTCTCCCGGGAGGTGAGTTTCGCGATTCGCGGGGCTTTCGGGTGGCCGGGTCGTTAGCTTCCACCCCTTGGGTGGTACTTACGAGGCGTGAGGTCCTTTACCCCTGGAAGGCAGGCTCCTGGGACTCCGCTGGAGATCCTCGCATCACCCGGGAAGGGCTGCTCTCTTTCTCGTCGATTCGCCACGAGACGTTTCCTCGTTCTTTGCCCCTCGCACGGCTCGATAATCCGGCACGCCCCGACCAGACCGTCCTCGAAGTCACGCTCGAGCTTCTCTCTTAGAGTTCATCTTCCTCGTCGGGTGATCCCCTCTCGTTGTGGGAAACGCATGCGCCTACGCGGCTCCGTCTTTTCGTTAGGGCTGCTATCGGATTCTCCGAGTTCCGTATATAGGCTCTGCGATCGGGAAACGTCGAGTTTCCTTTCTCACTTTGTCATTTGCGGCGATTCTTGATAATTGGACCCTTCAACGTTTCGTTCCTCGAAATTCCCACGATTCGGAATACAACGCGTCCGAAGGTTGAACACATTCCGCGTCGAGATATTCGCTGGGATTTACCGATTCTTGTAAAGGAAGAAAATGGAGAATTTAATAAAGAACGCGATAGCTCCGACCGATTAAAACGGTAGCTGACCACCTTCCCGCGGGATTTGTAACTTGAAGGGAATGCGCGAGGTATGCACGATACGTAGAGTTCTCGGTGTCAAGGGGCGCGGTAACTAGGGTATAAATGATCCTATAAATGTTTTTATTAAAGCAAAGTTACACATGGTAAACTTGTTTGTACGCGGGCATCTTGGCCTATTTACCCAGACGGAAAATAATGTGGCGGTAAACGGTCAAAGAAGTTGTAGTCAGTTTTACACGTGTTATGGCGTAAGTCGTTTAGGGTCACGAGGGAACATTGACGTTTTTCTTATATTATCGAGACCTAGATAAAGCATCACGACTCGTTCCATTCCGATACCACCTCCGGCGTGAGGTGGACAGCCATATCTAAAGGCATCGATGTACGATCTGATCTTCTCGATATCTAAAATAATATGTTATTCGTAAGAAACGGTGAATAAATTGCTGAAAGAAATACCCAAAACGGAGAATTTTAAGGTAAAGTTACATATTCCGTACCGATGCCATGATGTTTGGCACGCTCCGTAAGAAAGTCGGGATCGTGAATCCGCTGTGCTCCAGAAATGATCTCTTCTCCTCGCATGAACATGTCGTACGAGTTTGAGACTTTCTGTAACATAATTACTTTCGACAATATACGTCGATAACGTCGAGGGACATTGTAAGAGTAGATGAAGCACTTACCGGGTTGTTGGGGTCGGGCATCGTGTAAAAGGGTCGCACAGCCAATGGATACTTATCCAGAATGTAAAAGTCGGTGTCATACTAAAACAGAAAAAACGTCTCACCTCAAATAACGTACGATACGAAAAATTGCAGAAATCGAATCCAAGGAATCAAAAACATTCCTAATTTCTTACTTTTGCTTTAATGATTTTGCCTAAAAGCTTTTCATCGGGAGTTGACAAGTCGTCTTCCTCTCCCATTGTCACGCCAGCTTCAGCCAAATACTGAACAGCCTGACGAAATTCTAGTTTTAACGGTGGGTCCAAAAACTTGAAAGGCTCTACGTCATATTGTTGCTTGACCGCTGCTATTTCCTCAGCATAACTAGGAATCAAAATAATAGTCAGTCATCATCAGCAATTCAAGTCAGGAGGGAATATAAGCAAAATCAACGAGATATTAAATGAAATACACCAACTTGTCCCGAAGCCCTCGGAATAGCTTCGTAAACATTTGACCAATTGTATCGACTACTTCGTGGTAATGATATTTAAAAGCCATCTCCAAGTCGAGACCAACAAACTCGGTCAAATGTCTGTGGGTATTGGAGTCTTCGGCTCTGAAAACTAAATTTTATCATGAAGAAACCACATTTAGCGTGAACATTATATAAAGAAGTTGGACTTAAACGACTCACCGGCACCAACTGTAAATACTTTGTCGAAGTCAGCAGCAATGGCCATTTGCTTGTACAGTTGGGGAGACTGCGCTAGATATGCCGATCCTTTAAAGTAGGAGACACTGAAAACGTTTGCCCCGCCTTCACTCGCTGCAGAAATAATTTTTGGTGTGTGAATCTCAACGAAACCCTGTCACAACATAAAAGTTCTTTATATTTGACAAGTTTACCGTGACATTTTCGATATAATTTAGTTTTTTTTTTGCTCAAAATAGCGTGTAACGTTAGGTATAGTTTTCATGGAATACTAACCATGTCAGTAAGGATATCACGGAAGAGTTTACAGATTGCAGCTTCTACTCGAAATATTGCTTGATTCGCGGGTGTACGTAAATCCAGGACTCTGTTGTCTAATCTGGTATCCTGGTTGACTTTGATGTTGAGTACGGTATCATCGGCCTCCGTAACAGGTCTCGAAGCATCTTCAATTTGAAGAGGTAATTGTGGCTTGGCTGCACTAATTACAAAGATTTTCTCAATGTGCACTTCAACATCCTTCTGGGTGCATGACTCGATTTTCGATGGTACAGTTTTTACAGTAGCCTCCACATCAATGATCGACTCCTTGGTGATGCTTAAGTCAAATGAAAACTGAGATTATTATTTGAATTTTTAAAGATATGCCGAAACGCATACAGGATTTGTAGATTATCAACCGTAATTATTTGAACATGTGCTATCAAAATTCCATACTTCACTTCGATGAAGCTCTAATCAATATTCACAGAGCCCTAAACAAAATACCTTGAGCATTTTCTCCACGTACTTTGAAATAAATTTGATCATTTGTTTGCTGATTTTCTCGTTCACTGCAGCTAGTCCCTGCACAGTATAGGATTGTTGGCGCAGAACTATAAAACATTGTTTCCCTGCAAGTAAAATATAACCGAGAACATAAATATTGAAACTGATAAAGCGGACACGAAAGTAAAACATATTTCCTTAGTAATAATATTGACATTAAAAGAAACAAAGCAAATGAAGTCCATTCCGAGCTAATTAAATGAATAAATACTTCTGATCTATTTTGAAACAATGTTGAACTAAGTACCTTTTGCTCTGCTTGTATGTAATCGTCCTCTCAACCACATGGTCTGTTCGGCGACATTAGGATTCAATATTTTGATGTCAATAAATTTCCTTTCAATATGCAGGTCCGAGCTCTGAATTATACCAGTCTCTCCGTACCTTCCAATAGAGATATCTTCATTGTCACTTGTACTTTCTTGCTGTGATTGCTGAAAATTAAGTCGATGATTAATTATGAATGAAAACTATTTGTGTTTACAAATATAGTTACAAACATTTAATTGTCATATTATTTTGAATTAAAATCACTCACAGCTTGTATTTTTCGTTCTGCTTTCTTTGCTGCCTTCTCTGCATCCTTTTGCTGCTTCTTCATTGCTTTCTTAGATGTTTCATTACTGCAAAAGAAAAGAATGGTTCATAAATCACATGCTTTAAGATGTCAAGTGCTTTCTATGAATTTACAGAATTTATTTTTAAACACTTTTGTACATTCGCGATTAAAAAATTAAATAAGGTCCAGGCAAGGAAGAGAAAATATGAATGAAAATCTATAATGCGTTCCATTGCTCCAATACCCATCGAACAGGAAAGAAGTAGCACTAATATCAAATCGAATTGTGTCCATTTAAAAGGAATTAACCAAAAGTTGAATATTAACTAATATGCTTCAAATTGAGTTAATCATAATATATTCAAGAGAAAATGTATAAGAAAACTGAATAAAAAGTGTTGAAACCCTATCGCACCGACACTGAGACTTCGTGGTACATCCGTCAACTGACCAGAAAATGCTTCTGCCTTGAGATAGTGATTACTATAAATACAATGCATTGCATTATCAGCAGGTGAACTCTGCCCTTTTGTATCCATTATGAACCCGAAGATTAGCCATAAGCTATATGCAAAATAAACATATTGTTTAATACAAACATTATATAAAGTATACCACGGGATAAACTCGTATTACTATGTCTACACAAAGACATTGCAGGCTGCCTATCATTTTTGAATACTCATAATAATAACAGAGAAAAAGTGCATCGCTCAGGTTATCGAGTCGGTGCAATGCTGCGTTCGGCACTGCATTTTTTAATTATAACGCGGTAAGAAGCAGTTCGGTACTTGTACCAAAAGTTCAGCAGTGGGAAATTTATCTAATCTTGAATTTGATTTATCATGCAAAGTTAAATGATTCCTGAAATGCACGCATATGGTATTGATGGTTCTTTTCGAAAATTTTACAAGATCGAATGGATGCAATTCATTTCTAGTTTGTTATATCATTTATTTTTATTTTTCCTATTTATTCAATAACGCAAATGTAGAACATTCAATTACGTAGGTACAAGATTGCAAAAGAATTTTCATCTCAAAATCCTGTTTCAAAGTAGAATCGATGTATGCGTACAACGCTACGTTTACAAGTGATGAATTAATATGATAATACAAATTGTTACCCCTCGGAAGGTCCCGTAAGCTTCTCTTCAACCATCTGCAAAAATAAATTACATTGCATCAGCAAAACCCCTAAATTGATCTAACACATTGTTCAACAAATTGGGAATAATACTAGGACATGGCATAATAAATGTTTGCTCGTTAAAATGGATCCACGAGTAGATGACACGGTGCAAGACTAAATTCTGAAATGCATGTTCGGAATATTTCCTGTCCAAGGATCGAGGTTATATTACCGATACTGCAGCTTTCAATATTAACCTAAATTAGTGTGACAAGTACTAATCACACGCCGACGGAAAAAGCGATATTTTATGACAGTACGAACCGCAAATAGACAACAGTCCGTTCAATCGGGTCGTACAACTTTTACTCGTCTCGACCAGTCTCGACCGAATCGCTGTCGTCAGCTGTCGCCGCACCGGATAAACGTGGCTTTAATCGCTTTAATGACAGCAGAGATACGAGAGTAACCACGGACCCAAGCTTCTAGCAGAGATGAGTTGGGAGATTGCTCACGGGCAGGGTCGCGCGATCGCATCGTGTGCTGCCCTCTGGTTTCGTACGTTAGCTTTCACCGTTTTTTGCCCCCAAGGGCGGCGCAACGAATTTCTGGTAAGGCTCGCGCACTCGCGATGGCTGTGCCATCTACCAGTTGCCGTTGGCGGCTCACGTATTCGTGATGGTAATACCATAATAGATTAAGTAATCGATTTAGACCAGAGATGGCGCTTCCCCCTTGATCTCGGGGCGTGAAGCGGCGCGTCGTGGCTATCTCTCGTCTTTTCTCCGACGCAAGCGAGTTCGTTCGGCCGGGACAAGATGGCGTCGCAAACCGAACGCGGATGCGTCCCTGTACGCGCGATCGCAGGTACGTCAAACCTTTGAAATATGGTAACGTCGCAGCGTTCTCGAGTCAATCGCGTTTTCTTCCGCATCGGTGTAGCCGTTGTTGGTCTCCGTCCGGAGGCCGGAGAACCGCCGGCGGAAGGGAAAGGGAGAGAAGGGAGGTAAAACGAAGGAGGGTCGCCTCGCAATCTCGCGGCCGACTGGTCGCTCCCGAATCGGTGGGCCGCGGCCCGAGGCCTCGCGTTCGCCCCATTAGTCTCGCCCGGCAATTCGTCAAATCGGGAGAAATGTAGTATCGATAACGTCCCGCAGCTGCTGCCACCGGACCGTGCGTTTCTCCGCAGACGTCGACGCATTATCCGCGCGGTGGAGAGCGTTTCGCCGGGTGCGCGATTACTCTCGGATCTCTTCCGCTGCCGCTCCGGCGACCGCCCGAGCGGGAGCGGCCTCGCGTAAATCCTCGCGGCCCTCGCTCGGGTCGGCTCGACTCGACTCGACTCGACTCGGCGCGGCCAAGGCTCTCCTCTCGCATCCCGCTAAATAATAAATACGAGAGGGTTCTCCGGGGATACCCCCAGGGTGCCATTAACGGGGTACGGGTGGCGTCGCCGCCACCTATCGACCATCCGGCGAGTCCAATACACTTAGACTCGGGGCCCGGGAGTTCGGGCCCCGAGTTCGAGCCGGGCGGCGCCTGACGGGGTCGACGCGCACCCTCTTAATCGACGAGCGACGCCTCCCCCTAAATTCATTACTCGAGAGGAACTCGAACCGCGCGCGCGAACGATCGCTCGAGATGACGATGACGCTTTATTATGTACCAGACTCTTGCGGGGACACAATGGGACTCGCGGCTCGCCGATTCAGCGGGATCGACGAGTCGGAGTCGGTCGCGGTCGGTGGCGGTCGGTGGCGGTCGGTGGCGGTCGGTGGCGGTCGGTGGCGGTCGGTGGCGGTCGGTCGCGGTCGGTCGGGGTGGACGCTAAGTATCGATAATTGAGCGGCGCGGGGTGGCCGGGCATTTAGCGGTCGGGGTGGGCGGGGGCGCTCTCGGGATATCGAGGGATGTATCGCGCGGCGCGGCCTGCTATCGACATGTCGACGATGCCAGCCCGGACCGTATATCCCGTATATCCCGCGATACAGGAAACCGTCCCCTACCCCCGCGATCGCGATACGCCAAAATACCATCTGTCGTTTGGATGCGCGTCCTCCTTCTCGGGCCCTCTCCCTCCTCCGCCGACTCCGATCGAGAGACTCGACCCCGTTCGGACTCGATTCGTTTCGATTCGTTTCGATTTCGAGGCATTCGACGTTTCTCGCGGGTGCTGGGAAGGGACGATAATCCATCGGTGCTCTCGCAAATGGAAATTCCGTCCGGGAAACAATGGACGCGTGCGGAGAGAGATATCGCGGAAATATGCAGATAATCGTTTGTTACGTTTATCGCTGCGGGGAATGGATTCGAGAGCGATAACGCGCGGTGACCGCGGCCGCGTCGAGTCGACAACGCTCGGTCGATCATCGACCCTCCGCGGGCCGAATCGTCGCGACTCCGCGAAGGACACGCCGCGGCGGTCAGGCTGCGGAAAGGCGGAAAAACGGCGGAGTGGGCGAGAACCGATTCGGATCCGAATCCGGAGGGAGAGGCGGGGGACTCGGTTCGATCCGCTCTCTCGACGTCGCGTCGAGGGCGAAACAATGGGAGCGCACGAGGAGCGGTGGAAGGAACTCTCTCCCTCTCCCTCCCGCTCCTCCGCGTTTCGCGGCGGTTTCTCGGCGGTTTCTCGGCGGTTTCCCGGCGGTTTCCCGGCGGAAACGAAAAACCGCATCGATCTCGAGCGGTGCAAGATGCGCGAGTATCGTCGCCGACCCTTTAAAGCGCCTCCGCCTCTCTCCCGCTCCCTCTCTCTCTCGACGACGCGTTTCCTCGAAGCGGGTACAACCCTTTGATAGGCGACGGCGGCCCGGAGAGGGAAAGGGGCGGAGGAGGAAAATAATAAAAGGAAGGGACAGCGTTTCCCTCCGGTTCGCGTCGCGAGTCGGGCCGCGTTTTAACCCCCATTAGTGACCCACCATTCGGTCCGCGCCGGGGGGCGCGTCCGGAGCGTTATGTAAAAATTCCTCCCGCGACGCCGACGTCGCTTTTCGGGACGTCCTCGGGGAATCGGATTTCCCGCGCCTTCTCCTTCGGGAAGGAGGTCGAAGGGAGCGCTCGACGCCTCGTCGACTGGACGATCGAGGTCGAGCGGATGGAATTCCTCCGGAGGGAACGCGGCGCGAACTCGAGGCAGGGAATTCCCGCGAAAGCGTCCGCTCTCGGTCGTCGACCCTCTTTCCTCGTTCGACGAGGCCGAGCTCATCGACGGCTAGGCAGTCGGGCCGATGTCGCCGTCGCGTCGCCGTCGCGGCGCCGTCGCGGCCGGTTTAACGAACCCGGGCGACCGCGCGGCGGGAGACGCGCACGCGTCGCGGGGAATTCCGCGCGCGGGCCGATCGCGTTTCCCCGAGCGGGAAATCTGCCGAGAGAAAGGAGATCCGCGCTCGGGAAAGGGGTGGGAGGAGGAAAAATCGCGCGTAGGTGTAAAATTGCGCTAAGGTGAAGGTCGGTTCCCCGCTGCTCCGACTCCTATAAAGGCCCGGGCCCGAGGGGCTCCCGCCATTGCGCCCGAGACCGCGAGAGAAACCCGACCGTCATGATCGCAAACTTCGTCCTCCCGCTCGTCCTGCTGGCGTGCCTCTGCGCGGCGGCCCCCTCGAAGACAGGTGAGTCGCTCGCGTCCCTCGAAGGTTCCGACCGAGTCGCTCGACGAATGCCGCCGGTTTCAGCTCCGACCGTCTGCGAGCTGCCGATGGTCAAGGGCAACTGCAGGGCGCTGATGCCGAGGTATCGCTACGACTCGCGGGCGAAGGACTGCCTTCCCTTCAATTACGGCGGATGCGGCGGGAACCGGAACAACTTCCTGTCGAGGGAGCAGTGCATGGAGACGTGCAAAGGTGGGTCCTTCGGCGCCGCCGAGAGATTCCCCTCGGGCGCGCCTTCGAGGGGAATCTCTCCCTGAGAATCGCCGGTCTCCAGTCCGATCGGACGTCGGCAGCGAGCAGACTTTCACCTCGAGACGACGACCAGAGAAAGAACAGCGGGAACCCGCGGGAGTCCGCGGGGGAACCATACGATTCGGCTCGTGGGGGAAGGAAAGCGCGACGTGCCCGGGTCGCGCACGTCCGCCGTTTGCGCCGAGGGAACCAAGAGGAGAGAGCGGAGCGACTTCCCGTCAGTCGCACGTTTTCGCGGGCCGGAGCGCCGGTCTCTCGGTCGGCCCGATCGAAACTCGAAAGGGCGGGCACGCCCTCGCCGTCGACCTTCCGCTTTCGCTCGATCTCGCCGCTTTCTTCCGTTGACTCGTCTCCGTTTCTCGTTGCAGGGGTCTGACGGGAGCGCCCGCCAGGCGGGACACCTCTTACCTGCGAACGCGTCGCCGCTTTTTCTCCCGAGTCGGCTTGCGATCCCCCTCGAGGAAGGACCTCCGGGAAATTCGTCGAGAGTCGTCGTCGTCGTCGCCGTCGTCGATCGTAAATCTTGTATTTGTACGGACAATAAATTAAGTTAGGCGTAGCAATCCCGATGGATTCCAATCCGAGTCGCGCATCGCCGAGGGCACCCTCGAAGGTTGCCCCGGTTCCGGAAACGGACGGGGTCTCGCGTCAGGTCGAGACGGAGTCGCGAGGACGGCCGCCTCCGAGGAACGACTCGAGTCCCAGCGTCCGATCGGCCGTGTCCCTTTCGTCGTCCCGTTGCGCCCTGGCTGCCTGGCTTTGCATCCGCCTTTGCTCGGACTCCTCCATAATGGGGAGAATGGCCGCGGGGTCCTCGACGGCGCTCTTCTTCCGTCTCGACGTCTTTCCTCCACTTCCCTTCTCCCGGGAAGATCTCGGAACCTCTCCGAGGTCGACCGTCTCCCCTCGCTTCGTTTCGTAGTTTTCCAATTTTTTCGGCGAATCGAACGTCCCGTTTTCCTCCGTCCTCGATCTCGTGGATTTCTTCTCAAAATCGCGGAGGCTTCCCTTATTTTCGTCGTCTTCCCGAGATGTTCCTTCGGCTGCTCGAATTCGTTTCTCCGCGTTGAGTCTACCTCTTTCGAGGGGACCGAGGGATCCGGAATCCTTTTCCGCGTCCTCGAGTCCGTCGACGAGACGCGTCCTCTTTACTCCGTAATCGGTATTCTCCCGGGCATATTCGGAACATCCGGCCCTAAAAACGCGGCCAACGTTTTCCGCGCTGGATTTCGAGGTTTTCGCCACGGCTTCGACGTCCCTGGACTCCCAGTAATGTTCTTTCGTGTCCCCAAATTGTCGGAGATCCAGGCTGCGCTTATTCTTCGGGCCATCCCTCGAGGAATCCCAGTTGTCTTCGATAGGTGGGTCCGCTCCGTCTCGACCGGCCGTCGCCTTTCTGTCGTCGTTCCCGAGGTCGGCGACCTTTCCGCTTTCGTTTCTCCGGGTACCCTTGAATCCGGGTGTCTTCTCGTCGGCGCTTTCGTTGCCTCCACGAGGAGAATTGGATTTCGACGTTTGGTTTCTCGGTGACGTCTCGACCATCTCGCGATCGCCGCGACTCTTCGACTCGGAATCATTGCCTTCCTTCGTCTCGGGATCGGCGTAAACGTTGATCCGTTTCACGACGCCGTCCAAGTCGTCTTCCCTCCGATCGGTCGAACTCTTGGGAGTATTTTCCGGGGACCCGCGGTCTTCCCAGCTGGAGTGGGTCGGTACCATTTGGTAAAGTTTGAGGCCCACGGTGATCGGGCCGTTTTGGAAGTTGGTTTCGTCGAGTTCGACGAGCGGAGAGGTGGCTCTCGCGGACGCGCCTCCACCGGTTCGGTCTTTCGCCTTCGACTCGCCCTCTCTCTTCCTACGAACTTCGCTTCCCTTCTCGTGACTCCCCGTCATCTTCTCTTCTCCAGACCGAACCAACCTTTCGAATTTCTCCTCCTCCTTGGGCTCGTTTCTCATGTCGCTTCCGAACGCTACTTCCTCCAGCTGCCTCCGGTTTTCCTTCTTCCAGGCCTCCCGCTTGCTTAGCAAGAGAACTTCGTCCTCGACTCGATTTTTTCCCCGCCTTTGCGACGCCGCGTCGGAGGATCGCTCCTCGTTGCTCGTCGGAGATCCCTGCGTGTGTCGATTCCCCGGGGCGAAAGAGTTGCCGTCGTATTCGAAGAAGGGCTCTCGTCTCTTCGGTCTCGCCCTCGATCCGCTTCGTTCCGCTACCGAATCGTCCACCTCCTCGTCCTCGTCTTCGCCCTCGTCGGCTCGGTAAGGGTCGTTCCCTGCATTTTCGTAGCTTCTCTCCGGGAAACGGCGTTTCCTCTTTCTCGATCCCGAGGAGTCGAAGATCGCGAGCTCTCGATACTCGTCCTCGTCCGCCTTGGTCCCCTTCTGTCTCAGTTCCGTCACTCTTTCGGCCAACTTCCTGTACTCCGGAGTCTCTCCGCCGCCGTGTCTCCCGTGCTTCTTACGTTTCCTCTTGTGCTTACCGCGTTTCTTTTTGTGTCTCCTGGGCACGCGGTCCGAGCTGCGAGCCTCCCTCCGCCGATGGAAGAGAACGGGCCAGTCTCCGTCTGATGGACGGAAAGCGCACGTTGGTCAGGCCGCGAGCGCGACTCGTGGGACCGCCAAGGGAAGGTAGAGGGAAAGTCTTACGGAAGCGAGGCGACGATTCCTGGCGAACGCGGAAGGTCGCGTTGCTCAGCTCGAGGATGCTCGGAGGTTCGACCAGAGGCGGGAGAGCGGCGACGGCCGCCTTGCGCTCGTCCTTGCTTCCGTTCCTCGGCCCCGCGTCCGAGTACTGGAGGATGGATCCGCCCTTCGCTCCTTCGGCCGGCCCTTCCGACCGGTCCTTCGACTTGGCCTCGGCTCTTTCCTTCGCCTCGATGTACTTGGACAGGAGTCCTAACTGGCGTACCTGAAAAGCGACGTCGATTTCGGAAATACAAGACCGCGATCTTTGGAGGGGACTCGGGTCGCGAAGATCACCAAGTAGTCGTGGACGGTCTGGACCCTCGTCTTCTCCCTCTCGGACAAGGCGTTGTACTCGTTTATCAGGTTCCTCAGCAGGCGGACCTTCTTGTAGAGCTCGTTAACGTCCACGTCGAACTCGCTCCGCGGATCGTGGAACAGGAACTCGTCGTCTCCGTGTTTGGCGACGTCCCGGTCGTGGACCAGCGGCAGCGGCGGAGCCTGGACGGAGACGAGATCGTCCGCTAGACTTTGGCCGCTCGACGGGCGTCGGCTTAGAGCCGAGGACGGGCTCACCTGATCGGAGGAGCCCTCCTCTTGTTCCACTCCCAGCATCCACTGCAAGAAGTCCCTCATGTCGGGCGGCAGGGACGCGCAGGTCTTCCTCTGCACCTCGTCCAAGACAAGACGGCCCAGGAGCTCCATCACTCTCCGCATCATCGCCTCCGTGTGCTTGACCTGTCGGAGGGTTTCGCCGAAGGAAGCATTCCCGATCGGGTCGAGGAGCGGGGGAGTACTCGGAAAGGAATTACCTCGTCCTCGTCCAAGCCTTGGCGATAGATCTTATCCGCGGTGACGGAGTCCTCGGGTTTGCGTTTCCTGTAGAGGCCCGGTCCGAGCGCTATTTTAAGCGCCTGATTCCTCTGTACCTGCGTCAAGAAAGAAATGGATCTCCGCGCTCGGGACGGGAACGCGCGCCGCGAAGGAGAGGCTACCTGTTCGAAGATCCTCTCGACGATCTTCCCAGCGAGTTCCCCGTGCAGGGCCAGATCCATCTGCGACTCATCTTCCGTATTGTCGGCTGCCAGCAGGACCGTGAACTTCTTCCTTTGCGTCTCGTCGTCGGGTTTCGGGGACTGAAACGGAGGAGACGTTCGCGCATGGCCGACGAAACGAGCGACGGGATGCTCACGGTCTCCTCGTGATTCTCGGGCAGGATCCTGCCCTCGGAGTCCGTCGGTCGATCGTCGAGACCCTCTCGATCCGCCCGCGACTCGTCGCCGTCGCCGTCGCCGTCGCCGTCGTCGTCGTCCTCGTCCTCGTCCTCGTCGACGAACCGACCGCTGCGCTCCCACGGGTTCCCTATTGATTTTTCGTGCAAACGTCGTAACGGAACATGGCGCTCGCTCGAAGGGACGAAAGGAAAGGTACGCGTACCGTTGCTCGGAGGATTCTTGGCCGCGAGCGGGGCGCCGCGACGCCTCGCCAGATTCCTCGTCCCGTAATCGTTCGACGCTGGAACGCGTTTTCCTTGGAAGCGAAAATCCTCCATCTCGTTCCAGGAAGGTCCGGTCTCTCTCTTAACTCTGGAGGAGTTTCTCCAACTGCGAGCACCCCGGTCGTCGATCTCGAGACCGCTCGACTCGATCGTCGGACCTTTCTCCTTTCTCGGTTCTCCCCCGTCCCCGTTCGAACATCGTTCGGCGGCCTTCTCGTCGACGGCTTCGGAAGCCACTTCCTCGTTGGCTCTCTCGACCGCGACCGCGACCGCCCCGATCGGCTCCGCGTTCCCGGATTCGCGGTCGCGGGCTCCGCGAGGGTCTTCTTCGCTCGCTTCGGAATGTCTCCGCAGACTCGGAGCGTTCATTTCCCACTCCTCGATGTTGGTCAGTCCCCTGGTTTCCCTCTCGTCGATTCTCGCCGTCGAATCCTTCCGACGCGAGTCCTTGGTCGTCGGCGGACTCTCCACCGCGCTCGCGACTCTCGTCTCCGTTTCTCGTTGGTTCTCGAAGGCGACGGCGCTTCTCGGGGGCAGCTCCGATTCGGAAGCTTTCCCAATTTCCCCGAGGCTTCTCCGGAAGACTCCGTCGAAGAATGCAACCTGGCCGTCCTCTGTGTATTTTTCAAGGGGGGCCTCGTCTCGGCCGGTGACGTTTCCCTCCACGGCCTTCAGGCCCCTCCCGAGGTGAACTCTCGCGTCATCGTCGAAGTCAGCCGCCCAGTCGGCGGGCTCGACGAAGGACTCGTCGGCCAGGTCCACCGAGTTCAGCTTGCTCCCTTTTCCGCGAAGCTTACCTCCGATCGCTCCCTCCCCCCACGAGTTCCCTTGGACGTCGTAAAGAGATCGAGAGTCCGTCCGGTCCGTCCGGTCCGTCCGTTCCGCCGACCCGCTCCGCTCCGGCAGATTGCGAGGTTTCGAGCGGCCGCCCCTCGCCCGGACCACCTGAACGTGTCAAAGGGAACCTTCAGAAAGACGCGTCGAACGAGCCGATCGACGCGGTCCGGTCCGATCGGAGCCGGCGAGCTACACCTTGATGATCCTCCACTCGTTGGTCGTCCCGGAGGGCGAAACCGCCTCGAGGGTCCTTTCCTCGGCCGAGTTGGTCTGCTCGATCCCTCCCTTGAACATGTCGTCGGTAATTTTCAAAGCGAGGTAGTCGCTCCCGGAACCAGGAACGGAGGCCCCGGGAGGGGAGACGACAAGGTAGGTCCGCTCCGCCGACGCCGAATCTGCGACAGAGCCCCTACACCTTTACCCGAGACGACGACCGACAACGAGGGCATCGGGTACCAGTCCCGACCGAGGGAATCACCTGGAGCGGCTCCCCTGGCCCGAGGAATCTCCTCGAGGAATCGCCCGCCCGGGGGGCCGGCGCCCGTCCGA